CTTGTTTGTATTTGACTGTGTGTCACAGGGAAGTGTTCTATTGTCTACTTTGTACCTTGGATTAAAGGAATATTCTTGGAAATCTGCATTTGGGTCCTGCCTGCTGCACTCAACCCTGACAGAAGGAACCAACCAGAAATGGGCCCAGCAGATCCATTTGAGGTGGATTTACAAAATGTTACCTTTTCTTTGGCTTGCTGCTATGGTAGGTGGAGGGGAGCGTTCAGTGTTCAGCAGAAAGAGGCTGCTCTGGCAGAGGCTCACCAGGTGGCAACAGTGGATCAACCTTTAGTTAAGTTCTTACCTGATTGGATTTTGGATTTCCTTTCGACGTGTGATTCCCGGCCTGCTAGCCCCAGGCATGCTAGCCCCCTGCCTCCCAACTCCCAACCTGACACCATACATCTCGGTGTGTTCCGTCTGGAGTCAACCCCTGCTTCTTCCCCATTTCCTGCTCCTGTCCAGGAGCCGTTCTCGGGCACTCGTCTGGCTTTTGGAGGTCCACGGAGCCTCCAAAAGGCTCCTAAGAGAATGAGTCGCAAGTCCAGGCTAGCAGCCCGAGCCCCAGAAGCCATGCTTTGGGCTCCAGTACAGGCCCCAGCAGCCATGGTTCCGGCTCCAGAACCGGCCCACACAGCCATGGTTCCGGCTCCAGAACCGGCCCACACAGCCATGGTTCCGGCTCCAGAACCGGCCCACACAGCCATGGTTTCAGCCCCAGTTCTGGCCCCAGCAGCCATGGTTCCGGCCTCTGTTCCGGTCCAGCACGCCATTTCTCTTCAGGGAAATCTTCTGGGCCAACATGAGCAGATGATGCGAGCCTTAGCTGAAAGCAATCAGTCCTTGGCTCTACACATGTCAAACCTTGCTGCTCAGGTCTCAACTTGGACGTCTTCTGCTGCATTTCCTGCCTCCTCCAATCCACCTGTGGATTCCACTTCAGCCCCTCGTGTCCTGTCGGTGGTCCGGCCGACTCCAGCATCTCGTCACCTGTTGGCTCTCCGGCCGACGCCAGCCCCCCGTATCCTGTTGGCTCTACGGCCGACGCCTACCCCATGTCCTGTCCCGTTGGAGGTCCCGCCGACTACTCTTCTGCCGGGGGTCCTGCCAACCCTATGTCCTGTCCCGTTGGAGGTCCCGCCGACTACTCTTCTGCCGGGGGTCTTGCCAATCCTATGTCCTGTTCCGTTGGGGGTCCCGCCGACTACTCTCCTGCCGGGGGTCTTGCCAACTCCATGTCCTGTCCCATTGGGGGTCCCGTCGACTACTCTTCTGCCGGGGGTCCTGCCAACCCTATGTCCTGTGCCGTTGGAGGTCCCGCCGACTACTCTTCTGCCGGGGGTCTTGCCAACTCCATGTCCTGTCCCGTTGGGGGTCCCGCCGACTACTCTTCTGCCGGGGGTCTTGCCAATCCTATGTCCTGTTCCGTTGGGAGTCCCGCCGACTACTCTCCTGCCGGGGGTCTTGCCAACTCCATGTCCTGTCCCATTGGGGGTCCCGCCGACTACTCTTCTGCCGGGGGTCCTGCCAACCCTATGTCCTGTGCCGTTGGAGGTCCCGCCGACTACTCTTCTGCCGGGGGTCTTGCCAACTCCATGTCCTGTCCCGTTGGGGGTCCCGCCGACTACTCTTCTGCCGGGGGTCCTGCCAACCCTATGTCCTGTCCCATTGGGGGTCCCGCCGACTACTCTTCTGCCGGGGGTCTTGCCAATCCTATGTCCTGTTCTGTTGGGGGTCCCGCCGACTACTCTCCTGCCGGGGGTCTTGCCAACTCCATGTCCTGTCCCATTGGGGGTCCCGCCTACTACTCTTCTGCCGGGGGTCCTGCCAACCCTATGTCCTGTGCCGTTGGAGGTCCCGCCGACTACTCTTCTGCCGGGGGTCTTGCCAACTCCATGTCCTGTCCCATTGGGGGTCCCGCCGACTACTCTTCTGCCGGGGGTCCTGCCAACCCTATTTCCTGTGCCGTTGGAGGTCCCGCCGACTACTCTTCTGCCGGGGGTCTTGCCAACTCCATGTCCTGTCCCATTGGGGGTCCCGCCGACTACTCTTCTGCCGGGGGTCCTGCCAACCCTATTTCCTGTGCCGTTGGAGGTCCCGCCGACTACTCTCCTGCCGGGGGTCTTTCCAACACCATATCCTGTCCTGTTGGGGGTTCCGCCGACACGTGCTACGCCGGGGGTCCTGCCAGCTCCATGTTCTGTTCTGTTGGGGGTCCCGCCGACACCTGTTCCACCGGGGGTCCTGCCAACTCTGTGTCCTGTTCCGTTGGGGGTCCAGTCGACACCAGCCCTTGCTCCATCCGGGGTCCCATTGACACCAGCCCATGTCATGTTCAGGATCCCGTCTACACCTGTCCCGTCGGCTCCGGTTCCTGTCCGGCCGATACTGGGTCCTGCCTGGCCTCCGGAGCTGTCCCGTCGGCGCCTTCCTGCCCGGCCTCCGGAGCTGTCCCGTCGGCGCCTTCCTGCCCGGCCTCCGGAGCTGTCCCGTCGGCGCCTTCCTGCCCGTCCTCCGGAGCTGTCCCGTCGGCGCCTTCCTGCCCGTCCTCCGGAGCTGTCCCGTCGGCGCCTTCCTGTCCGGCCTCCGGAGCTGTCCCGTCGGCGCCTTCTTGTTCGCCCTCGAGCCCGGCCCCCTGATTTCCCCAGCCGTGGCCTTCGCCCTCGAGTCCGGCCTCCTGACTTTTTCAGCCGCTGCCTTTGCTCTCATGCCCGGCCCCCTGAGTTCGCCCGCTGTGGTCTTCGCCCTTTTTTGAACTCTGCCTTGCCCCCGGGCCGTCCGCCCGAGACCCCCTCCTTGATCTCTGCCTTGCCCCCGGGCCGTCCGCCCGAGACCCCTTCCGGGTCCTCCGCTGTGCCCCTGGGCTGTCAGCCCAAACCCGTCCTCCAGACCCCCTCCACCCACCCTGCTGGAATTTTTTGGACTTTTGGGGACTTTTTGGGACGTCTGGGATCCGTCCCTTGAGGGGGGGGTACTGTCACGATCTGTCTGTCTGTGTTGTGTTTTGTCTTGTCTTTTTCTGTCTTTGGTTTCCTGTTTTGTTTTGAAAAGTGTTCACCCCCGTCTTGCCTGTTGCTTCCTGTCTCTGTGTTCCCTCCTGCCTGATTGCCCGATTGTGTTCACCTGGTGCCCCTGTGTTTTCTCCTCCCTCCTCACCTGTGTCTTGTTTGTGTGATTGGTCTTGTGTGTATTTTAGTTCTGGTTTTTCTGTCTGTCATGGTTGGTTCCTTGTTTGTATTTGACTGTGTGTCACAGGGAAGTGTTCTATTGTCTACTTTGTACCTTGGATTAAAGGAATATTCTTGGAAATCTACATTTGGGTCCTGCCTGCTGCACTCAACCCTGACAATCATCATGTTTACATTTTATGATTAAATTATATTTAAGGACAAAATCATTCTTTTATCTTTCCTTTTTTCTCATTCTTATAAAAACCGGCAGGCTTTACAGTATTACAATATTAAAATGACAGGGACAAATTAATCTCTCATACAGTCAAAACACAGAAATAAAAACCGCATGTTCTCAAAAGAACCATACAAGATTTATAGTTTTAAAAACCCTCATTTAAAATGCTCAATCTCCTTAAAGTATGCTTAAAACATTAAACTGATAAGATTTTTCTCATCCGAAATTCACTAGCTTGGATGCTAGTGAGGCTAGCCCGCTGCTACTGTAAAACAGCGGCTAACTAAAAAGAGCTAATGGCTAATAACAATGTTGCTAAAGCTAATTGTCATTTGCTTAAAAAAAGAAAGAATAATGGCCTTGAATACTGTAATAATCAAGCATGGAACAATTGTGACACTTAAATTAATGTACTATATGAGCTTAAAGCCGAAAGATATTACTGGCATAGCATTGTTTTCATAATTTAAATGTTTCTTGTAGTAGAAATAATACTGTGCTTCTGCAAAGATAAAATAGTCATAGATATCGGTATGTCATTTTGAATAAACAAAAACAAAAAGCAACTCTCTTTTTAACTCTTGGGAACATTAAAACATTTTATTGCACTACTTTATCGTGTTTTTCGACCACAGGGGAGTGCGCTTCTGCCTTGATTTTTTTGTAATGAGTACACCAGTGAGTGCACTCTCCCTTGTACAGTATGTTTAATATAATATTAATAGATCATCCCCACACCCCCTTCATGTCTGTCCATCTTTGGTTGAGCCTTGGATGCTTAATTCAGCTGCAATGTGAAGTCTTGACCACTCAGAGGCAGTGCTGACTTAAATTTAGATCAAATAATCTTCCTGTTTAGGGAGGTAGAGGAGTGCAGTAAAGGTAATCCTGGCGCTCTGTTGCTGCTGCATGTTGCAATAAACTTCTTAAAGTAGTTGAATTCAGTCAATAAGTAGGCCGCCGCCTAAATGCACTTTTTGTATCATTGTCTCATCTGTATGACTTCCTCTGGGGAAACTATGTCTCTCTGAATTTGTAATAAAAACAACAATGACTTTTCACTATAACGATTACAGTTTCTGAGCTTGGTTCCTAGTTTTAGGAAATATATAACTTAAACTGGTTTACATATAATCTGAAACTAAAGTGGAAACATTCAGGACTGTTACTCCAACATAATATACATGTATTCAATCACTGTACTTTACTACACTAAAACTTTGAGTACTTCTGAAACTGAAACTACTTTCTACTTCACCACATTTTAGAGGAATTGGTTGTTTCTTTTATATTTCACAAGATTTATCTGACAGCTAGGGCCTTCTCATTGCAGATTTAGATTATCAAAACATAGTATTTAACAAATTAAATGATGCTTGTTTTCTTGAAAATTAGAAATGATCCCCACTAGCTGCAACATTAATGTACACACTAATGCATCCATCGCATGTAATAATATGGTATGTTCCTTTATTGCTATGCATTGCTTTTATTTTGAAGAGCATTTCTATATTTTTGCTGCTGTATGACTTCAGTCTCATCATCATCAACACTACAACAGTTTTATTTCTACGCACAGGGGGGCGTGTAGACTGTCACTGGTCACATGACCCGGAAAATGTGGGGTTTAATTCCTGTGTTGGACTGCTCCCAGCTGCTAAGCCTCTGCCCTTCGCAGTACAAACCCTCCATCGCGACCCCCAAGGCGGACTCTCCTCCTCACACCATGTCGGGTAAGATTCTCCGGGGCTCCGCGACACTCACAGCCGCTAACTGATACCGGAACCAGGCCCGTTTTCCGCGACTGGACCGGGGATGCGCATCCTGCCCGGTTCTCCCGAAATATCGCGAATTTTAGATCAAACGCTGCAGTAAACACCTGCTGCCACGCGCATGCACTGCTGCTGGCACGCGGACATAAACGAGGCGATGAGTTTTATTATTAGAGCTGTAATGTTATATCTTGCGGACATTGAAAAGGTATTTATGTTATTTTTTTGATATGATGAATTGCTGCTGCGGATTGGACCTAAGTAAAGCTGTCGACAATAAAAACGACACTTCCGGTTACAGTTTACTAGTGAAAATACAACTAATGTTGAGTAACCTAAAGCTGAAATGTAATAGTAAAGACTAGAGAAAGAAAATACAATCATTTTCTAAATTATATATTTTTTATTGTTTTTCATCTTTGCTCTATAATTTTGAATATTGCCTAACCACTACTGAAATCAATATTTGAGGGTTTAAATAATCAGATAGATTTTTTATTTAACACATAGCCATATTTCATATAGCAATCCTTAAACTTTGGTTATAAAAGATACCTCAGAGGTTGTATAAGTACTCGGATCTTGTACTTGAGTGAAAGTAGAAGTACCAGAGTGTAGGAATACTCTGTTACAGTAAAAGTCCTGCATTCAAAATGTTCCTCAAGTGAAAGTAGAAAAGTATTATCACCAAAATATAGTTAAAGTAGTGACAGTGAAAGTAGTCATTGTGCAGATTGGTCCATTTCAGAATAATATGATATGTTTTATAATGATTGATCATTAAAGTGTTCTCAAAGCTGGTAAAGGTGCAGCTAGTTTGAATGACTTTGTATACTGCAGGGTAGCTTGTGAATTTACTCCAGGTGGAACTAAAGTCTGATTTAACACTTGATTATATTTCACATCATTCATCCAAATCTGTAAAGTAACTAAAGGTATTAAATACATGTAGTGGAGTAAAAGTACACCATTTACCTCTGAATTGTAGTGAAGTAGAAGTACAAAGTAGCATAACATGGAAATACTCAAGTAAAGTAGAAGTACCTCACATTTGTACTTAAGTACAGTACTTGAGTAAATGTACTTTGTTACTTTACACCACTGGATACTTGCAGATGTAAAAGCAGGAGTATACACGTGCACAGTACTGTCACTTAAAGTATCTCAATCATATCTTTAATTTCTTTAACATCACCAACATTTATTATAACTAATATGATCACACTGGCGGGTGTTGAACTAGATCTGATGTTGAGTTAAACGAAGTCAGAGTGGAAGTGCAGATTGTGAAACTGCCTGTCAGGTTGTGGGAAAGTGGAAATGATGTAGGCCCGCATTGCATCACCAACATTGATGATTTCTCCATTGAAATTTTATCCGGTTAGCTAATCAAGACAGAACAGCAGCAGTATGCAGCTTCATTATCTTCAGCACAGTGCTATGAGTGAAATAGATTTTAACTGATCGACTCACTCACAAGAAAGCAGATAATCTAATCTCCCTAAATGTTGCACTATTCCTTTAAAGTGACTCCTGCATTGTTACACAATCTTGAGGAATAAATACATTGAATCAAAAACTGTGTGTTTAAAGGATTAGCTTATTCATTGAATAGTCTACCATCAAGAAAGTCATCTGCAATCATTTTACTGTCATTTATGATCAGTAAGTCAAACTGGTTGTAGTATAAACACAACATTTTGAATTTACATTCAACATGATTTCATTTAAAGAACATGTATTGCTGTTACTGAAGCTTATGGTAGTAAATGAAATGTGTATTATATATTTTGAGTAGTTGGTCCAACCCAAACAAGCAATTTAAGGAAGAATGATTTAGCTTTGGGAAAATGCTATTATTCACTTTTTTCAAATTGACAGCTTGATAATATAAACTACTTTTAACAATTAAACCCATATCTCACTTTTGTTTTATTTTGTAAAGTAGACCCTCTAACTTCCTGGGTTAATGTGAGGTCCTTAAAGTAACTTGACATGTTGTTTCTCAGTGCGGACGTGCGCCACAGTGCGTGGCCTTGAGGTTTTTGTTTTTTTTACATTACGAATAAAAGGCTCTGGTGTAACACCTCTTACTGTATTACTATTAGACATCCCTAAAAAAGTATAATTAGGAAAATAAACGGTTTGCTCTACTAAAGGATGTATAACAGTAACTATACAGCCAGAAAGAGAGTACTACATTAGCATCATATTAAGATTAAGTTACATACAGGAAACAATGTGAATGTCTTTAAATAAAACTTACCATTCAATCTCTAAGCATTGATTTGCACACAGTAATACATTTGACACATAACATAGAATATACTGGATATAAATGTCCCATATTGTTCGTTAAATACTCCATTGTATTTTATATTGGTGCACTCATGCTAGATAACAATATTGCTAACAATTTAAACAAACTATACTTAAAAATATCTGTCCTTGTGATTTTAAAAGGCATCAGACCCAGTAGTAGGTCATATGGCTTTCCTGTACGTAGCCTCAGACGACTCTGTGGGAACTCGACATGTTTCCTGTTTGGCCTGGTATACTCTTTTGATAGTTTATAGTTCCTCGAAACAGACCCTAGCAACCGTGCGTCTCAGATTAGGTTTCCCAGAAGCCCCCGACCGCAAACACATTCAGCTTGATGAATACTACACTATTTGCTGGCTCTGGACCAACTCTCCGTGGAGCAGAAACACAGAGTGCCCCCTGCTGTCCTTAATTTATGCATGGGGGGCACATCAGACACTGAACTTCATACAATAGGCCTGACGAGGAATTCATTAGGACAGAATGAGACCGTGAGTGTCACGGTTCATGTTTGTTCTGGACGAAAAAGCGGAAAAAAGAGCGCTGATTTCATGCAGTTTACTGTCAAATTAGGAGACAGAGGCACTGATGGTTTGAGCGGAAAGTCTGTGGTGGAAAGTACACAACATTTAGCTTTCTACTATTCCTGTCTGGGGGAAGTTGACCTACTTTAATACCAAGTTGAAATGCTCAAAGCTCGCTGCAACAGTCCTGTGTGAACAACACAGACATTATCTTTTGAGGTTATAAAAACATTTCTAACTTAACTGGGGTTTATGTGAACATTAAAGTTCGGCTGTATTCCCCTTGACCTCTCTTATGGGAGAAGATGTTATAAATAGTCTGCTGTGGAATTTAGTGGTTTTAATGCTTTTGCAAACCATCCAGAAATGTTTTCCCTTATGAAATTCATGAGTTGTTGGCTGTTGTAAACCCATATTTTCACCAAAAATGCCAAACAACATTTGACTGATTACTGAGGTTGCTGTTCTGCAATATATGATCACATTTGACACCTTGATAATCCGAATAAACTGCATTTGTGTGTGTGTGTGTGTGTTTCTCCAAGCAGACCAAGCTTTTGTGACGCTGGCCACAACAGATAACTACGCCAAAGGAGCGATGGTTCTCGGTCAGTCGTTACGAAACCACAACACAACCAAGAAGCTGGTCGCTCTCATAGGGCCGCATGTTGCAGAACCTTGCAGGTAACACACACACACACACATGGCTGAAGGTTGGTGAAAAATTGTCAAATGGCAATATCCGACTAACACAAATCTCACCTTCTGTGTTGTAGAGATGTACTAGGAACCATTTTTGATGAGGTGCGTGTGGTGGACGTCTTGGACTCGGGCGATGTGGCTCATCTGTCCCTGATGAAACGTCCGGACCTGGGAGTCACGTTCACAAAACTGCACTGCTGGACCCTCACACACTACAGCAAGTGTGTGTTCATGGACGCAGACACAATGGTGAGAAAACAAAGCTGACAATAGCAGAGAGCGTACAGAAGAAGCGACAACAAATTAAATAGTCTTCATTGTCCTTTGATCACAAGATTCAACAGAATGGAATTCGGACTTTTTTTCAGATCCTAATTTTGCGTCACAACATCTCCATTTGCAACAAGACAAGAATTAAGTTAACAGACTTTGGACATAAATTACAATCACTAAGGACAATGTTTTCAAGACTCTTTAAGATAGATTTGACCTAGAATTAACTTTGCATTTAATTTGAATATTGACTAGTGCACAAGAGTGCTTCAGTCTTTTTTAAATCAAGGGACCATTTCATATCCAATTCATGGCACATTGATATATATCTGATATCCTTGCAGTGATATAATCGTTCAGCTGCATGACAACTGGCTTCAAGTTTAAACACCTGTCTCAGACTTGAATGAAGCTCCTTATATTTGCAGGTGCTGTCAAATATAGATGAACTCTTCGAGAGAGAGGAGTTATCAGCAGCGCCGGATCCCGGTTGGCCAGATTGTTTCAACTCCGGGGTGTTTGTCTTCACACCGTCCAATGAGACGCACGAGAAGCTGATCACGTTCTGCAGTGAAAACGGCAGCTTCGACGGTGAGTGTTTCTGTTCTGTTGCACACGAGAACATAATCTGAAGAGAGTAGAGGAATGCATTCAAGTGTAAGCAATATGAAGGATAACTCACTAGTGAAATACTCTTGGACTGCAACGTACAGTATCTCTGAGCAGGGGTGACAGGCTGGACAGAGCTTATTTGAATAAACAAGAGTATATTACTTTATTCCATTGGTGAGGACCTGAGACCTGAGTCTATTTGACATGAATAACTCGTGGCTTCCCTTGGCCTTCTGACTTATACATATTTGATAGTTTGTTTGGAGCCCGAGGTTTAACAAGTACTTTAAATCTCTGTCATTTCGATTCTTTCAATCGAGTTGCAGGAGAGAACCTTAAAGCCCAACGAGTTACGTTACTGAGTTTGAAGCATACAAGATCTACATGGTGAACAACAAATTGTAGTAATGAAAAATTGCACTAGATTGGGTGAATAACCTAAACTTGCATAGGACAGAAAACTCACAGTTTAGGACTTGTCAGCCTTGATTTGGGCCGTGAGTGCAAAGACTTGAAACAAACCAAACTCTGATATATTCCACAGTTTTTATAAGCCGTGGTTTTATTTCGGCAGTGTAAACATGAACCAGTTAACTGCAGGTGTGTCCTCAACCATTTGTAATGAGAAAAGCATATATTTGTTAATAAATAATGCATACAAATGTCCTGCAACCTCTCTTTCTCTTCCCACACAAACGTATAGTATAGTATGTCCTCATTTCAATCTGACCTGGTGTGACCTTGTCCTCACATTGCCTCCTCCCCTCTGTTTGTCTGCATTCAACTCGTTTACATAGATCAGCCATCTGTAACATAGATCTGCATTCCTCTCAAGGCTTTGTCAGCATTCTTTTTCTAGTTATACGAGTTGGAAAAGACACATTGTTTGGGAATGAGTGTGGCAGGTTGACCATTCAGGAATTCACTATAGTTTGAATGTGTTTCTGCAACCACAGAAGACAAATCTGATCAAACAAGCTGTCTTTGAACTCAAGCAGAAACATTTTAAATGCATTTGTGTGTGTCTTCATGTCTGCAGGGGGAGATCAGGGGGTCCTCAACAGTTACTTTAACACCTGGGCGACGAAAGATATTTCCAAACACCTTCCCTTCATCTACAACCTCAGCAGTATCTCCATCTACTCCTACCTGCCAGCTTTCAAACAGTCAGTACACACACACACAACACGTTGAACATTTTCATACGTTCATGTGTAGCCTTGAGTAACTTCAGGGTGCTTCTTGTGTTATGAGGCATAACGCTTATCCAAGGGTGTGTGTGTGTGTGTGTGTGTGTGTGTGTGTGTGTGTGTGTGTGTGTGTGTGTGTGTGTGTGTGTGTGTGTGTGTGTGTGTGTGTGTGTGTGTGTGTGTGTGTGTGTGTGTGTGTGTGTGTGTGTGTGTGTGTGTGTGTGTGTGTGTGTGTGTGTGTGTGTGTGTGTGTGTGTGTGTGTGTGTGTGTGTGTGTGTGTGTGTGTGTGTGTGTGTGTGTGTGTGTGTGTGTGTGTGTGTGTGTGTGTGTGTGTGTGTGTGTGTGTGTGTGTGTGTGTGTGTGTGTGTGTGTGTGTGTGTGTGTGTGTGTGTGTGTGTGTGTGTGTGTGTGTGTGTGTGTGTGTGTGTGTGTGTGTGTCAGACAAGAGTTGTCAGGTCAAAGGTTGTGTGGGGGTGGGTCTTGAATTACAAGAGTTGCTTTAACTTAGGAAGGTGTGTGTGTTACAAGAGTTGTCAGGTCAAAGGTTGTGTGTGTGGGGGTGTGTGTGTGGGTGGGTCTTGAATTACAAGAGTTGCTTTAACTTAGGAAGGTCAAATCCCATTTTGCCACAAACTAATTAAAAAAGTGGGACGACTGTACACTTGTTTCCTTTCTGTTAAAATCTGTACTGCATGTGTCTTTCTCTTCGACAAAGTTTAAATAGGTTTGCACTCACAAAATTAAGTTTCACAAAACTAAGACTCTTTCGTCCCTGCCGCCTAAAATAAACAATGCCTGTTATGTTTTCACAGGTACGGCCATGACGCCAAGGTGGTACACTTTCTGGGAAAAGTGAAGCCCTGGAGCTACTCCTATGACAACCAGAGGGGCGAGGTCAGAGGTCACTCCCTGCCCCCTGACCAGTGCCAAATGCACCCAGACTACCTGCTCCTGTGGTGGCAGCTGTACGCAAAATCAGTGCAGCCGTTACTGCAGCATGCCTACGGAGACTCTCTGTTCACGAGTGGCTTCGTGGAGGGCAGCGAGGAGGTACGTGATGTTTGAGTGTGTGAGAGAGCCAGAGATGGCAAAAGTACACACATCCTTTACTCAAGTAGAAGTACAGACACTCGTGTTTAAAAATACTCTGGTAGAAGTAATGACACATTTCCTTTACTCAAGTAAAAGTAAAGAGGGCTTTGAAATGTACTTCAGTAAAAAGTACCCATAACTACCAGCTGTTTTAAAGAGTACCTGACCTCCCTTTATATTAATAGAACAATAATGTCATTGTTAGCTAATGAATGTTTCCATGCTGAACAACGGCAACATGACAACGTTTTCATTGGTCCCTCTTCTTTAGAGAAGACCAGGAAATGATGGATACACGGATCGTGTTCAAATCAATAGGCACGCAATGACTCTAAATAATAATGATCACGCCACCAGACACACATTCAAACTAAAGGAACCAGCCTGTTTGGAAAATGTAAGAAGTAGAAAGTACAGGAATTTGTGTTCAAAATGTAAGAAGTCAAAGTAAAAAGTCGTTAGAAAAATAAGTAGTGGAGTAAAGTACTGATACCAGAAAAATGTACTTAAGTAAAGTAACGAAGTATTTGTACTCCAGAGAGAGCGATCGGTCGTAGGCTGTGGGGGATGAATGTTTCCAAACCTAGAGGAGCATTCTGGCTGTGATTGCGTGTTTCGCCTGTTGCATAATTATGACTGTGGTGAAACCTGTTATTACGAAGTGAAGTCTGCTTTCTCTGACACATCTTCAAAATGTGCAAATCTATCATTCAATGTTCCAATCACCAAGGGCCACATGATGACGCCTCTTTCACTGGGGCTTAAAATGAAAACACTGGCTACTTGAGGTTGCGACAAAAGCAAGAAAAAGTCGATTTGTTCCACATTCCTCAGCACCGATCCGTTGCCAAAAGTGAATGAATGAATAGCTCACTGTTGTCGATGAAACATGCAGGATGCTCGGTCTCTAGCAAATATTCACAACTTCACAGAGGACCAGGAAGTTACCAGGCGGTCTGTCGTAACAAGGGCGGCAGTGAAATGATTTGTCAGAACCTGCAGAAGTTTCCTGAAACTGACTGTTTGAATCTTGTGTCACACCGACAAGTTTATACCGGCCCATCATGGGAAAGTCCTTGAGTCTATCAGTGGCTTTGGCTGTGTGTTTTAGTGTTTAAATAAAGGTGTTTACACTTGATTTAAGTGGGGCCAAGAGTGGTAAATGCGGAATAACGGCGCAATAAGTCAGTCAGTTTACCAAAAAAAGGCATCAATATTAATCAACCTGACTGAAGCTGAGTGACAATCTGTGTCATTACTCATATTACAAATTCATATCATTGTAAAGTTTGCTACCATGTTACCGGTCATATTAGACCAGTTTGGGCTGTAGCAGCAAATCCCCTGAGTGTATAAGGGAGGTTTTGTTGTTTCTTTCAACATGTACACATAGTCAAGATTTTAAGTCCACCTCTATTTAAAAATGGGTTTTAGAGAGTACGCATTTATCTGCTAAGGTGGCAAAAGTTTCTTTGTGTTCAGAGTTGAGGAAGTGTACTGTTTACCAATATGTTACTTGCAGGAGTTAAGGTGTCTCCAGTGCACATACACTTTTGAAACTAACATGATTAGGGTATTTATAGATTCTGGATTTTCTAGGTGGAGGAGTAAGTCAGTAGGTAGTAAGTCAGCAATATCCAGGATTTGTTTACATATTTGAACTTTGTTGTGGACTCTTTTCTCCCTATGTAATGTCCATTATGTTGGGATTGGTATTCACCTATTGATCTACTATAGAAATCCAGATGTTATGTAAGGATAAACCGCTTTTATCATCTGAGAAATTCCACTCTTATCTTAAGAGTGTTGTCAAAGGTCTTGTTTGTACTTCGACCGCCCTGACGAAACGCCTCCATGAACTGATTGTGGTTAGAAAACAGCGGTCAGTTGAGCATGGCTGAGTGTGGGGAAACCTGTCCTTATAGAGTATTGCTGCAGTCCTGTTTAATTCAATCATTCATTCTCTGTCCGTCACGCAGGGAGAGCTTCACCAGGATGTGAGAGAGCACCCGGCACCTCCACCCCCCCAAAAGCTTTCATCAGATGAGAGGAAGCAGCGTTGGGAAGCGGGCCAGATCGACTACATGGGTGACGACTCCTTCGCCAACATCGAACGAAAGCTTGACTCCTTCCTGAAGTAGGAGACCGGGGATGGAGCACGACGGACAGAGAGTGTGTGTGGGTGAAGATGTAAGCACTGCTCGGCCAATCACAGGGGCTCGAAGGGCAGGTGACTGGATGAATGCCTGTGTGCAACATCCAGCCTCACTCTCTGCATCCTGTCTGTGTGTGTGTGTGTGTGTGTGTGTGTGTGAGAGAGAGCTGAAATTTGAAGATTCCCATGCACTTCCACCATTCATTCTTCCCTCAAAAATAAGTCTGATATTTCAGGGAAACATGCTCAGTCGCTTTCTCGCAGAGAGCTAGATGAGAAGATTGATACCACTCACATGTGCTAATTATTAAAGGTCACCGATATGCAAAATCCACTTTTTCATGTCTTTTCTACATCAACATGTGTCCCCTCTGTGTAAAGAGATTCTGAAAGTTTCAGGAAAAAAGATTCTCTCTCTTTTTGTCCTGATCCATTTATATAAAAACCTGTCTGAAAATGAGCTGATCAGATTTTGGCCACTTTATGATGTCATAACGATTTTTTGGCTTGTGTAACCATTAGCCAATCAGCAACCAAGGTAACCCCCCCCCACCTTATCACCTGAATCTCCTCCTAGAGCACCATTGTGTTCTTTTTATCCAAATATCTCTCAGAGGGGCGTGGGGAGGGGCTCCTTATTTTCATCTGAAGTAACAGACAGAGAATCAGCACTTTTGAAACAGGGCTGAAACAGAGAGGATTATGGGATGCTGCAATGATCTGTTTGGTGTTTCAGCCAATCAGAGACAGGCTGTGTGTATATCTGAGACCTGTAATATATTGATGAAAAACAGTATTATAGGGGACCTTTAAGCTAATGCTAGGAGCCTCTCCCATCTGTGGGCTCAGCACTGTGTGAGTGACTTCATTAACTATATCACTCTGTATTCAAACCTTAACGGAGAAAGAAACTGAATTGTTTAAGAATCCCACAGATATATGCTGTCTACACGGCAACAAGAAACGCTCACAAGACACAGTGTTCTTGTGGCTTCAACTTCTTGTGTTTCTCTAAATGTGTGTAAATGTCTTTTATTCTAAAATTGCACAACTGTCGCAAAACAAAATGTCTCCCTGGGATGAATAAATGAATCTAATTCGGATGATTCTGATTCGGCATAGCTATAAAAAAACGTTATCAATCACTACCACGTTGCATTATGTTGGATTGATCCGTTATTATTCGGTTTATCAGACTATTTATTGGCCGAAATCAAAGCAGAAAACATCCGTGTTCCCATCGTGGTATATTCTTCTCATCCAACTTAAGCAAAGCGAATAAGCGTACTCACCAAAATGTCGCTCTTGTCCTCTAAAGTGTTCTTGTGAAACAGTCTGGAGTCTTCCTAACCTGTGGGAACGTTAAGCCACAGCAGAAACAAAGAAGGAAAAAAAAATGTGCAGACAGAGCCTACTGTTGAAGGGAATGTGGATGATTTTGAACTCCTTTCTTGCAATAAGTCTCTTTATCTAACCCACTTAGATAGCAGATATGCAGCAACTGGCTCCCCCCCCCTTTTCCCCCAAATCATGTCAATCTCGCTTCAATCCGACAGAGTTCACCTCACCAGAGTACCTCTTATTCTGAGCCTCTGACACTCACCAGCTCCCTGTGTCTTCAGCTTTGTATTGTCTGGTTGTGTATTTAAAATGTGTTGCATGGCAGCATAGGTCAGTAATGAAGTACTTCCACACACATCCTTCAGGGATAGTTTCGTATTTATTTGTGTGGGATTTAACAATAGTGCGCTCCCCAGACATCTGTCATCCGTGTTATGTCCTCGGCAGACCCCTCATCGGTATATCATGGCCCCCATTGTAATCACTTCCTGTCTGTAGTGTTGCCAGCTGCCTTATTGCCACTGTTTACAAAACCTAATTTACTGTAACTGCTGCTAGTAGCACAACACATGTGCAGAGTCCCTCATTTCCTGTTACTGAAACCTCCTTACTTCACTCCAGCTGTGTGCCCTCGAAGAAACCAATCCCAGAAGCTCCTCACATGACTCTCCTCACTCCATTAAACTCCTACAGGAAGCTGGCATGGTTGAGATAAAAATCAAAATGTGATTTTTTTCCAAGCTTGTCCACCTGGTAAATCCCCAATATGCATGAGTGTGGACACGGAACAAATCGTAGTGACTTCAGTAAAAGCAGATCTGTCCTGTTCCCCATCCAGGAACTGTACATCCCTGTTAAAGCGCTAATAAAGAACTGATGGAGAATCACATTTTGTCCATAACCCCTGTCACAAGTGTCTTTTTTTCATGATCTATAGAATATTGAATACATTTAGAGAACTGCAGGAATGACTGAAACCACAAATGAATAAGGATTGCTGCCCTTTAGGTTCCTTCATCTCGAAGTCAGTGGATTTTTTGTTTGATACATAAAGTTATGGTCAATGGCTAACACAAGCTTAAGCGATATTTACATTTTCAGACATAAAATACGTTGGGAACGAGGTGTTTAATGAGATTTCATAGTGTGGGAAAATCCAAAAACTGTCAAAAACTGTGGTGTCATTTCATAAGCCTAATTTTGCTTTTTACCTCTGCCAATTTCACTCATGCTAACAATCATAAATATGAATTTGGGAATATTCTCTTGCTGGAATAAACGTGTAAGTATTATGAACGTCTTTTTGCCACAGAGTTATTCCATGCAATTATCCACAATCTATTCGATATCTTGATTTTTTTGTCGAGAGAGCTGGAGTTGGCTCACAAAAAATGGGCTGCAGCACGTTCCAAGATTTGTTCTTCTTTATATGCTATCTTTATATCGCTTGTTTGGTTACTTAACCCTTAGATGCACAAGTGGGTCTTTTTGAAGTATCTTTGCAATTACATTTTTTGTATCATTTCATATTCCAGCTATTCCTCAAAAAATATGTTTTGGATATCATGCCATTCACATTTTAAAATTTACATTTTAAGAAATTGTAGTTTTTGTGTTACTACCCCAAGCTTCCATAAGTGGGTCAAAAATGACCTGCATGCATTTTCTATGGGATCCTATGGGAACCTTTGATTCTTATCACCTGTTGCTGTCAGGAATACATTCACTGTAGACCACACAGACTACATCACAAGTGACACCTCTCAGGAAGATTATTTTACACAGCAAGATCTGATACCTGTCAGTATAATAAAGGGTTCATACACTTTTTCCCCAATGATTATCAATGACTTCTCCATGACCTTTACCTAATTTTCCATGACCAAAGAAATTACTCTCAGCGGTACCACTGAAAATGGTTTATTTTAACATGGAACAGGAAAATAAGGTCTGCATATGAAACATGTTGTGCCTATCTAAAACAAATCAAATAGTTGGCTTACTAGCTTCTACACGCTAAAGCAACTCAAATCTCTCACCAGCAAAATACCTCGTCAGTTAAATGCCATTTTACGTTTCATTACTATGCGATACAGTATTTATTATCATTATAGTATTACTATTTTGACAATTAGATAAAATATAAATTATATTTGATGCAACTTTAGTTACATTTCCATGACTTTTCCAAAACTTTGGGAAAAATATTGTTTTCCATAACTTTTCCAGGGCCTGGAATTAGCATTTTGAATTTCCATGACTTTTCCAGGTTTTTAATGACCGTAAGAACCCTGAATAATAATAATAATAATAATAATACATTATATTTGTATAGGGCTTTTCAAGGACTCAAAATCGCTTTACAATATAAGCGAAGGTTAGGGTGGGGGGTATAGGACTATCAAACTTGATCAACCGGCATGGATTGATGGGGGGTGGGCTATGAGTAGACAAGAGGAGAAGAGATGAGTTTTGAAAAGGGACTGGAATACTGTGAGGGTCTCAGAATAGCGGAGATCTTTGCATCGATATGTTCAAAACGTTTTTTCTTTCAAAATGTAAAAAAAATGTCTAAAATTATACATAGTGAAAAATTACATATAAAATATTTCTAGTGTGAACCAAAATATAATACTAAATATTATACAAGTGATTTTTCTTAACCAAAATGACAAACATGGCATAAAAACACATATTATTCTAATACGGGTCCTTTGTGACCCACTTATGGAAGAGTGTAGGGTCCAGTCACTCGTGCATCTAAGGGTTAATCAAACTGAGTCATTGTTAACCAGAATTGACATATTGATAAAATCAGATGCACACGATTGTGTTGTTAACAGATGTTTCTTTAATTTCATGTTTTTGGTTAGAAAAACACAGAAGTTCTGAAAGCAGCTCTATGTAGAAACTACAAATGTACAATATCAGCAGACTGCATTGAATCCAGAGATGGTAAAGAAATAACAGACAGGACATTTACATCTTCATGGCTGTTAGATTTTGCATCTCAACAACTCAAGGTGGGAAAACAGGTTTTCCTCAGTCTTTACTTGGTAACAAAAGGAATTCATTTTTCAACTAAATCCTTATCAACCGGATAATCACAGCTTTGTCCAAGAACAACTCGTATTAAGCATCACAACTGAACCGAAACAACAACTTGCAAATGGGTTCGTCATGTAAACACTACAGAAACTTTAACCGTTAAAGAAAACAACATTTGATAAACTATGAATGCAAAATGTTAGCTTTACAAAATGTGTAAAAAAATCTCCGCAGCCCTTCAGATGCGAGCAGTCCGACCGTAACGACATTTAACATGTGAACAATACAAACAGTAGAAATGTACTCGAGTCCTCTACAGCTCCATCAGAGCTTTGATGTCATCAATGCGAGACGTTTTCCTGTCCGTGTTCGTGGAGCCAAACGCCTTGTCCACCAGCTCCTGCTTCTGCTTCTGGATCTTCACCATGGTCTCCTCCACTGAGTCCTTCACAAGGAACTGCAGCAACAAACAGAGGAAACATAACATATATATATATACATAATGAATACATGTAAGTCTTAATGGTATAATAAGTATAATTAAACGGCGCATACTGGAGCTGCTTAGGAACATGTGAGATACACTGAGCTCTGCAGCAAAACACTAAAACAAAAGTACTAAATAAACTATAGATAGATAGATAGGTAGATAGGATAGATGGATGGATGGATAGATGGATAGATGGATAGATGGATAGATGGATAGATGGATAGATGGATGGATAGATGGATGGATAGATGGATAGATGGATAGATGGATAGATGGGATGGATAGATGGATAGATGGATTCGATGGATAGATGGATGGATGGATAGATGGATAGATGGATAGTGGATGGATTAGATAGAGGCATAGATGGATAGATGGATGGATAGATGATAGATGGATCGATAGATAGATGGATAGATGGATAGATGGATGAATGATGGATGGATAGATGGATAGAATAGTGGTATGCGATAGATGGATAGATGGATAGAGATGGAAGATGGATAGGATAAGATGGATAGATGGAATTGATAGATGTGATGGAATAGATGGATAGATAGATTAGAGGAATGGATCGATAGATAGATAGGGATCGATTTGGATAGATGGGATAGATGGATAGATAGATGGATAGATGGATAGATGGATTAGATGGGAAAGTGAGATAGATAGATCAGATTAAGATGGATAGATGGATATAAATCGATAGATGGATAGATGGATAGATGGATGGATAGATGGATAGATAGGTAGATAGATAGATAGATAGATAGATAGATGGATAGATGGATAGATGGATAGATGGATAGATGGATAGATGGATAGATAGATAGGTAGGTAGATTGATAGATAGAGAGATAGATAGATAGATGGATAGGATAGATAAAATAGCATTACAATACAATTAAAAAAGTTAAAGAATATAAAATAAAAATATATATAGATGGGGAAATACACATTTCAAGTGACTAGTTTTCAGTAAATAGTAACTCGTTTTCAGACCTTGGTGACGACCACTCTCCTGGTCTGTCCCAGGCGGTGGCAGCGGTCGATGCACTGCTCCTCGGTCGCAGGGTTCCACGCCTTAAACACAAACAATCGAAAGTAAACATGCAGCTTTTAACCCGGTAACATTTCCTCTGCAGGGTTTCTTCAGTTATTAAGAAAATGATGGCTCAAACAGAAGTTACTGTCATCAGTTATGGCATCTGATGTGTACAAAAAGAAACTAATTTGTTATGCTGTTTGCAGAGATCTTCTTTGTTTAATGCAGGTGATTTACTGCCTAGTGTTGTCGTGTGATCCCTGCACATATACTGCTGTATATACTGTATTTACGCTCAGTGTATTTATTCTTATTTATACATTTTACATCACATGTGTCAAACTCAAGGCCCGGGGGCCAAATCAGGCCCTTGGTGGATTTAATTTCGGCCCGCAGGATAATTTCTAATTACTATTAGATCTGGCCCGCCGGTATATTGCACGTACACCTTCACTCAATCCTGAGGGTCTCCTCAGCTCAGAGCCTGACCCCAAACATTGATGAACTTGCACCCAAGATGAGATGCCAAGTATCTGGCTTGAACTAGCATCACAGAGCAGCACACTGAGTTTACATGGACGTTTCCTTCTGCACTTTGTTTCTTCAGACAACAGGGCATGTTTGGTTTTTTCTTTGAGGGAAATAGTTTTGTTGAAGCTGTTGTTGGCCTGTGGAAAAATGTAATCATAAGAAATGACTCTGCAGATAGAGCCATAAGAAATGAATGCAACTGATTATTTAATGTTTAATGTTGTTTTTATAGGCAATCATTTAAGCTTTGTTAGTTCCAGGTTTAATATGTGCAATAAGTTCATTTCAATAAGTTCTGCAATAAACATTGAACCAGTCCGGCCCTCAAATAGTACCCATTTTTTAATTTTGGCCCACTTTGTATTTGAGTTTGACTCCCCTGGTTTACATCTATTTACCTTTACTTGTATCATTTATTTTGTACAGACTGCTGATAGATGTGTATACAACTGACTGTTTGCACTCTGGTTAGACCCTCTTCATTTCGTTACACTCTGCTTGCATTATGTTATGACAATAAAGTAATGTAATCTAAAAACACTGCAGAAGATTTTAAATCCGTGATACAATCTGAGTACACTGTTACACTACACCCTTAAGGAGGCACAAGTGCCATCAAATCATGAATATAGTGAATATAATGTTCACAATGCCAGTAAATACTATGTGTGATTATTATTACTTATGTATTCTGTTGGGGAATAATTTGCTTAGGTATTCAACCTTTGACACAGTTAATCATTTTCTCTCTTTACCGTCTCCTTCCCCACGGCATAGGTCTACGGCCTTGGGTATTGCTGCTATCTCTCTTAAGGAGGGGCAGCTTGGGCGCATTGTTGTTGCCAGTTTATGACCGAGCACAAGCCGCCATGAGGTAGTTTACTGTTCAGGGACGCAGGTTCCTTGCCGCACATTCTTTTCTCTGGACGACAGCTCTAGTTAGATTCAGGGTCCATATTTGTTTAGTCTCGCTGATAAAGAATGTTGATTATTACACTCCAACTAGTTAAAACCTGGAACTACAGAAAGAGGTCTTCAGAATTGATTGTGGCATCTCAACCGTGTGGTCAAACCGTGGCCCGTGACATGTCTTGTGAATTGTCCGGCCGAAGCTCCAAATAAACCGTCAGTGTTTGCCATCAAAGCTCCAGCTCTCCTCGTGTCTCTCCGAGTCCTGACTCCTATTGCTTCAGAAGTTTCCCCACACATATTCTATCTCCCATTGTAAAGCGTCCTTGGGGTTTCTTGAAAGGCGCTATCAAAATCTAAATTATTATTATTATTAATGTACTTACGGGGTCCATGAGGAACACATGAGAGGCGGCGGTCAGGTTAAGCCCCACCCCCCCAGCTTTGAGTGACAGCAGCATGATGGAGGGGCCGTCGGCTGCAGAGCTCTGAAACTCCTGGATCACCTGAGTCCTCTTCTTTTGACTCATGCTGCCGTCCAAACGCACAAAACTGAAACCTTGCTCTCTGGGGAAAGAGGAAGGAGGACAATAACGTTACCCCAAGAAACAAAAGGTTATTATTTGATATAATCTGTTTTATTATCTACCTTGACGAGCATAAATATAGAGCGGAACAAAACGAGTGTTCAGTAACCAAAGAGCAGAATTTTTTCATATATTAGTATATATTATTATTCATTCAGTATATTACATGATTTAATGGCCCGCTAAATAACTGGATGGCCTACCTGCCTGTCAGCCTTCCATCTGTGCACAAACTTATCTCGTGCCCTCATTGGTCATGGTGCGCGTTCGTGTGTGTTGGAGGAGGGGCTCTGTAAGGAAGTGGCAGATTTTTTCCGGTTGTGTATTTTCAAATTCTAGCGATCTCGAGCTGGTTTCTCCAAAATTACCTACCCCACCTTTAATATATATTAATACAAGTATATAACAACAACCCCTACTTCCACTATGGTTATTGAGTTAAATAAAAACAATTGTTTGTACATCCGAGAGCTATTTGAAGATTGAATTTCCCATCCTGCACCCTCCTGTGAATGTGTGTGTTACCTGCACGTCTCCTGTGAATGTGTGTGTTACCTGCACGTCTCCTGTGAATGTGTGTTACCTGCACTGCACGTCTCCTGTGAATGTGTGTGTTACCTGCACGTCTCCTGTGAATGTGTGTGTTACCTGCACCTCACCTCTCCTGTGAATGTGTGTGTTACCTGCACCTCTCCTGTGAATGTGTGTGTTACCTGCACCTCTCCTGTGAATGTGTGTGTTACCTGCACCTCTCCTGTGAATGTGTGTGTTACCTGCACCTCTCCTGTGAATGTGTGTGTTACCTGCACCTCTCCTGTGAAAGTGTGTGTTACCTGCACGTCTCCTCTCCTGTGAATGTGTGTGTTACCTGCACCTCTCTTGTGAATGTGTGTGTTACCTGCACGTCTCCTGTGAATGTGTGTGTTACCTGCACCTCTCTTGTGAATGTGTGTGTTACCTGCACCTCTCCTCTCCTGTGAATGTGTGTGTTACCTGCACGTCTCCTGTGAATGTGTGTGTTACCTGCACCTCTCTTGTGAATGTGTGTGTTACCTGCACCTCTCCTCTCCTGTGAATGTGTGTGTTACCTGCACCTCTCCTGTGAATGTGTGTGTTACCTGCACCTCTCCTGTGAATGTGTGTGTTACCTGCAGCTCTCCTGTGAATGTGTGTGTTACCTGCACCTCTCCTCTCCTGTGAATGTGTGTGTTACCTGCACGTCTCCTGTGAATGTATGTTACCTGCACCTCTCCTGTGAATGTGTGTGTTACCAGCACGTCTCCTGTGAATGTGTGTGTTACCTGCACCTCTCCTGTGAATGTGTGTGTTACCTGCACCTCTCCTCTCCTGTGAATGTGTGTGTTACCTGCACCTCTCCTGTGAATGTGTGTGTTACCTGCACGTCTCCTGTGAATGTGTGTGTTACCTGCACGTCTCCTGTGAATGTGTGTGTTACCTGCACGTCTCCTGTGAATGTGTGTGTTACCTGCACCTCTCCTGTGAATGTGTGTGTTACCAGCACCTCTCCTGTGAATGTGTGTGTTACCTGAGTGGGGTCTCCAGTATGGTGAGGAAGCGTGTGAACTGAGAGATGACCAAACACTTGATGGTGCTGTCTTCACATCGAAGCCTGAGCAGGTTTCCCATCAGCGCCTGCACCTGCAGACACAAAAGCACACTTCAAAAAGGAGGAAAAAGCCATTTCTCACAGGGGAGAATATTCAGCCATTTCCCACTACTTTTTAGAGTGAATTCTATATCAATTATTAGAGATGACGTCACAAGAAAAGGATCAGAAGAGCAAGTTGAGACACTTGCTTTTGACGGCGCGCTATGCATGGGGCACCCTAGAGGGGGTTTCCAGACATGTCATTGCAGCTGAGATGAGAACTCTCCATCGCATTAGTCCTTAGCAATATGCTGCGCCTCTCCCCATGTAGGGATGGGTACCGAGCCCCGGTATTAAACGGGCCCCGGGCCGGAATTATTAAAGACAGTGGTAGAGACATTTAAAACATATGTCATATGTATTATTGCTACATGAACATTATATTGCAGTTTTAGTTTCGCCAACTCCGTTTCTAATATGCAATAAGACTACAAAATGCGTCTATGATGTATTTCGATCTTTCCAATCCAGACGAGAGAGCTCTCTCCTGTGTGCGAGGGGGCAGTTTGTAAAGGTCTCCTGACTGTGTTACAGACTGTCATCCTGGTTAGTGGTTACTCTGGGTTCTGTCTTCAGGACAGAGTGTTGGATTTTTGTTGTTAATCGGATGGGACTTGATTGGATTCAATATTAGAGTAACTTTCTCGCTGCTTCAAATATAGCCTACACTTTGATGTTTTGGGGTTAGCTGTCAGTTCAATCCGGCAAATTATGGAATTTAATCTTTCATCTTCCATTGACAGTTTATTGATCATTGATCAGATGTTGATCTTGTTAACACTAGAACCGCCAACGGGTACATTTTACCCGCAGCTGTTTCTTGATTGTATGTAACTTTTTTTCAATAAAATATTGAAGTCTCCCAGTCTGTGACTTTTCCTGAAGGTGTGTTATGTATAGGGTTGCAAAGGGGCGGAAATGTTCCGCCCCTTTGCAACCCTATACATAACACACCTGGAAAGTTTCCATGGGAAGTTAAGCTGGGGAATTTTGGAAATATTCCATGCAAAATTAAACAAAAAACATGACATTTCAACAGATCTTTTTTTATTTTTTTTTTTAAGTAGAACAGAACAAGTTTTAATTATTTTATTGAACAATTAATTGTTTCATTTAAGAACGAAAACAGGAATGTTGAGTTAAATATTACTCATCTGTGCATGTGATGGAGGAATGCACAGTACCTGTAGGAGGTGTGGTCTCAATAGCCATGCAGTAAGCAGTGTGCTATGGCATGGATATTCAAGTGTACTTTAATGGCATCTGTTTGTTTTAGTCAAGATTATGCTAAAATATACTTTCCCCAACTATATTTAAGTTCCCTACGAAGAGCCAACCTTCAATTTAGAAAATTCCCAATTTATTTCCATGGAAAGTTTCCATCTTTGAAAATTCCCGGAATTTTGCAACCCTAGTTATGAAGCACCCTATGTTGTTATGAATGCTCAATATGAAGTCAGATTGAAAAAATTGCCCAAAGAATTGCCATTTATACCCATCAGCGCCAGCGGGTAATATTTACCTTATAGAAAATGTAGTGATTTTCGCGCTATTGATCTCGCGCGAAAACATAAACATGACGTGTTGCTATAGCAACGCCTGTTGTTTACTGCGGTTCCTTATAGATAGAAAGAGAGATAGAGAGAGAGAGAGAGAGATAGAGAGATAGATAGTTATAGATAGATCGAGAGAGAGAGAGATAGATAGATAGAAAGAGAGATAGAGAGAGAGATAGAGAGATAGATAGTTATAGATAGATAGATCGAGAGAGAGAGATAGATAGATAGAAAGAGAGAGAGAGATAGTTATAGATAGATAGAGAGAGACACTTTGCACATAACTCACGGTAGCGATCTTTTACACTTCATGCTATCTGCATGAAGTGTAAAAATATGAAAAGCTGAGAGTCCACAGATTCTATTGGTATAAGTTTCATCACTGTGCGATCAGAACTCACTGTTAACCCTGTGTTCTAGTATGATAAATAAAAGAACATTGTACCTTGAAAATCAATGCATTCTTATAGCGGGTACCCGTTGGCGGTTTTAGGTATACAGCGACCCCTGGCGGTACTAGTAAATATAAATAATGAAATAGACTAAGTAAATAATGCTGCGTTATTAAGCACACCATTTCATACATCTGGTAAATATGCTATTAAATGATGATAAGAATGTTAAAAGCTTCAAGGCAAGACTGAAACGATACACACAATTGATCAGAAAACCAGCCGTCCAGCCTCAGAGTGTGCGGTGTACCTTCGAGCTCGTCCTCCACTTGTCAGGGTTTGCACATTTCTCTTCCTCCATTTTCTCCTGTGGAAACTCCACCAGCTCATTGGCCTTGATCTCAGTCCGACAGAGAGGACAGCGCGCGTTCTCCTACACACACACACACACACACACACACACACACACACACACACAACACACACACACACACACACACACACACACACACACACACACACACACACACACACACACACAACACACACACACACACACACACACACACACACACCACACACCACACATCACACACACACACACACACACACACACACACACACACACAACGCACACACCACACACACACACACACACACACACACACACACACACACACACACACACACACACACACACACACACACACACACACACACACACACACACACACACACACACACACACACACACACACACACACACACACACACACACACGATTAGCAGCTAAATAGTTGATTACATTATAGTTAAAACTAACTGAACATCAGAGGTGGGAAGTAGTGAAGTACAAATACTTCGTTACTGTACTTAAGTACATTTTTCTGGTATCAGTACTTTACTCCACTACTTATTTTTCTGACGACTTTTTACTTTTACTTCTTACATTTTGAACACAAATACCTGTACTTTCTACTTCTCACATTTTCCAAACAGGCTGGTTCCTTTAGTTTGAATGTGTGTTTGGTGGCGTGATCATTATTATTCAGAGTCATTGCGTGCCTATTGATTTGAACACGATCCGTGTATCCATCATTTCCTGGTCTTCTCTAAAGAAGAGGGACCAATGAAAACGTTGTCATGTTGCCGTTGTTCAGCATGGAAACATTCATTAGCTAACAATGACATTATTGTTCTATTAATATAAAGGGAGGTCAGGTACTCTTTAAAACAGCTGGGAGTTGTGGGTACTTTTTACTTAAGTACATTTCAAAGCCCATACTTCTTTACTTTTACTTGAGTAAAGAAGTTTAGTCAGTACTTCTACTTTTACCAGAGTATCTTTAAACACGAGTATCTGTACTTCTACTTGAGTAAAGGATGTGTGTGCTTTTGCCATCTCTGCTGTCAGCTGACACTTCTACTACACCCCCTGCCGTGCATGTACCTGCTCGCTGCTGATGACCTGGGCGATGCAGGGCCGGCAGTAGACGTGGGCGCAGTGTGTGATGACGGGCAGACGCACAGACTCCAGACACACTGAGCACTCCTCATCGGAGCCGCTGGCCAACACCGAGCGCAGCTTCTCTATCAGACGCTCCCGCAGCTCTGCAGGCGTCGCTGCAGCACCTGCACACAAAACACTGCATTTCAGACGTTTACAAGTGGAAATCAACAAAAACAAAATACATTTTCTCGGACATGATATGAGGCCAGGGCTGGGGCTACAATTAAGGACACAAACACATTTTTATGTTTAAGAAAATGTATAAAGAAAGCGTATTTAGACAGTATGGAGTTGACTTTTGATTGTGTTCTGGTTTTATGTTTCAGTATTTGTAAGCAACTGTGACTGAAAGAATATTGATTTTATTTGACTTTTTAATAGTTACTTCATTATTTTTTGTTGTTCTTTTTTTTAAGGAGGGGCAGGTAAAATACGACGTTCTTCTCCCTGCTCCTTTCCACCATGCGCTATAAAAAAAACAACCAGTATAAGTGTACATGTTTTGTAAAGTGTACATGTTTTGTTTTAAAGGTCCCATGTCATGGCCATTTCTACTGATCATAATTCCATTGTTGAGGTCTACTAAAATAGATTTATATTGTGCAATTTTCCAAACTCACATTGGGTTCTCATACAGCATCTCTGTATAGTATGTGTATTCACTCTCTCTCCTAAACGGCTTGCTGGAGCTCCTGCCCCCCCCCCCCCTCCCTGTGAGCCCAGTGGCCGTCTGCGAGACAGCGAGACACAGCGAAACCCAGCCCGAACACACACACACACCCGCAGCCTGGCTGGGAGTTTGTGTGTGTGCCCAGGCTGAGTTCCGCGGTGTCTCGCTGTCTCGCCGACCCCACACCAGTGAGCCAGCTCACAGTGTCCCGCTCCTCGCAGCAGCGAGCCTCGCAACGTCCCGCCGAGTGTGTGTGTGAGGAAGTCCGCGGATTGGTCCAAACATAACGGCTCTGCTGACGTAACGTAACGGCTCCGCAGATTGGTCAATTTGGACCAATCTGCGGAGCCGTTACGTTACGTCACTATACCCGAAATACGTCACTATACCCAAGAAGTAAACGATGGAAAAAGAGAAATCCCCAACGAGGCGTTCTGGGGCAGCATAGACAGGTCTTTTCTCTGGTAGAGTTTTACTCGCTACAGGGTGTACTTTGAGGGTTTGGGACTCTGCAGACCGTTTACATGCAGAAAAAGCTACATAACACACAAGGGGACGGGTAATAACCGGAAAAGCATGACATGGGACCTTTAAAATAACTGCCATGTGTGGAATAAACAAATAAATAAATAAATGTTATGATAAATGTATGGTTTAATTATGACACAATAGGAAGTTTGTATTCTAAGATTAAACACGTAGGGTTGGTTAGTTTTTTTCACCTCACAGTTTATCTGCTAACAAAATAGAGTCAGTGTTTTTCTTGCCTCAATCTTAACTTTTTCCCCATGTTGTAGTAAATGTGTCTCCGGTGCTCCATGACAGCGTACAGCAGGACAATCTACGCATCTATAACTGGCTATACAGAGGTGAACTGGAGTCTTTTTTGACATAAAGTATAATATATCAACCAAACAAACGATTCACAAGAAATGTCCAGGCAGCCTGTTGGGTTCAGAAACTACACTACACATTATTCTTGCATGACACGACGGGTTTTACCCAGGTCTGAGGATGTTTTTGCCAGCAGATCAGGGTGGCAGCAGTGCTGACGAAGCCTCATCAGGATGGCCAACACATCGGCATAATTCCTCAGGACTGTCCCTTCAGCTACGTACCTACACACACACACCCACACACACACACACAACAGTGCACAGTGGAAAAACAATGTCTAACAAACTTGTATTACCAGCTGCATGTTCTGTCGAAACAGCCACACATCAGTTCAGATTAGTCAAATCATGTTGTCGAATTATTTACGCAACGCATGCACAGTGACACGTACCTGCCGATGGTGTTTCTTCCCTCGTTGCGTGCCAGCTCGTACTCCTCTCTCTCGGTCTGGCTCAGCTCCACCTGCTCCACGCTCACTGTCTTCTCCGGCAGAGACACCAGGGGGCGCCCGTCCTTCTCACTGCTCTTCGTGCGCCTCAGGGTGATGCACTTCACCAGGGTCTGAAGGTTCCTGTGCACAGTATCGACTGCCTGAGACTTGAGCTGTGAATTACTGCTTTTACAGCTTGCTCTGTCAGTTGGTCAGTCTATAAACATGTCCCCTCTTTTGGCGGCTACATTTTAATGACTTGGCATGGAGATCAAGTGTTTGTGAGGGTGTGTGTGGATGATGCATGAACGCATGGATGAATGCTTGTATGTTGTGTTAGCTATTAAAAAAATCACGCCTGTTTGATATCTGATAGAATATGACAAATACTAACTTAGAAACTTTCATCCAACTCTCACTCAGTTTGCTACACCAGGTAATCAATACAGTTTGTCTAGTTTGATGTCAAATCAGTTATAGAAGAGCTTTGAATGTCATAATATTGACGCCTGATAATCTGATTTCCTTGACACTGAGTGTACACAGTACGTAGCGCCCTCTGGTGTCTTATTACTGCATTGCATCAGTGTAATATAATTTAAGATAAGATAAGTTTAAACTTTTTAAACTTTATTGATGTATGGATCTGTGAGCACTCACTGCAGGCCGGCTCTGTCCCCCTGAGTGACGGGTCTCTGGATCACTCTGTTCCACCACTCTTTCACATCGAAGGGCTTCAGGCGCAGGAAGGCCAGCAGCATCCACAGGTCCTTCACACTGTTCTGGATAGGAGTACCTGGAGGGGAGAGAAGAAGAACATATAGAAACATTTGGTGGCTGCCTTAAAGCTCCCCTATTATACTGTTTTTCATCAATATATTATAGGTCTCAGATATATACAAAACATGTCTCTGAAGTGTTTGGCTCCAAATACCAAACAGATCATTGCAGCATCCCATAATCCCCTCTGTTTCAGCCCTGTTTCCAAAGTGCTGATTCTCTGTCTGTTACTTTAGATGAAAATAAGGAGCCCCTCCCCACGCCCCTCTGAGAGATATTTGGTTAAAAAGAACACAATGGTGCTCTAGGAGGAGATTCAGGTGATAAGGTGGGGGGGGGGGGGGGGGGGGGGGGGTTACCTTGGTTGGTGATTGGCTAATGGTTACACAAGCCACAAAATCGTTATGACATCATAAAGTGGCCAAAATCTGATCAGCTCATTTTCAGACAGGTTTTTATATAAATGGATCAGGACAAAAAGAGAGAGAATCTTTTTTCCTGAAACTTTCAGAGTCTCTTTCCACAGAGGGGACACATGTTGATGTAGAAGAGACATGAAAAAGTGGATTTTGAATAATAGCTGACCTTTAAAACTGAGGCTATCTGTGTGTACTTGAGTATGTCATTTAAACATTCAGGCAGAATACGTCTAAAAGTTATAAAGAACGAAAGTTGTATTGAATTTTGAGCATGATTATATGGAGTTGATGATCAATGTTTCTGTATCTGTATGTTATGTACTCTGTGTGTGTGTGTGTGTGTGTGTGTGTGTGTGTGTGTGTGTGTGTGTGTGTGTGAGTGTGTGTGTGAGAGTGTGTTAGGTGAAGTTATACCTGACAGAATCCAGCGCCGCTGAGCTTTGAGGTCGAGCACAGCCTTGCTTATCTGTGCATTAGGGTTTCTGACAACATGTCCTTCATCCAGCACAACCCTCAGCCAATTGATCGCATGCAGGGGACTCTTATTCTAAAGGAAGCAAAAACATTATATCTGTTAGTAACAAATAATGACATTTTCCCCAAGTGTGTATTGACACGTATTAAACACAGTCCAGGAGAGACATTAATAGGTTGCCATTTGAGATTTTTCTGATGAAAATAATTGAACGCACAGTCAGCTCCACCGTATTAAGTGTCCTCCATGTTTTCCTCTCTGTCTGGACACCTTGACTCACCTTACAGCTACGGAAACACATACGACCGGTCTGTACTCACCCCAAAGTCAGCAGAGAGGACGTTGTAGGTCGTGATCACCACATCCTGAGAGGACAGAAAGTTCTTGTTCCTGTTGCGCTCCGGCCCGTAATACAGATACACGTTTAGCTTCACGTCAGCACGCACATGCTGCTCAAACTGGTCCTGCACACACACAAAGAAAGGAACTTGACACATGCTGACTTTGGGAATGATATGGAAAGGGAACAATGAGTGAAGCATCTTCATCGTCAAAAACAATAATGGTCATCCTTTATTTGCTGTTCAATGTGATATGGTATTGATATGGATTTTTTTTTTTTTTACCAGGAGCAGCAAAGACGTTTACTTTTCACTTTATTCACCTATACTTGTCACTAAGCTAATAAGAAGGATTACATAAATGTATTTGAGTGATAGAAAGTGTCTTGTTGTGTATGTTTTGTCTGCAGTCCTACCAGCCAGTTGCTGATGACAGAGAGCGGGCAGATGATGAGAGTCGGGCGAGCTGATAGGTCCTCTGCACTGTCAGTGATGAAGGATTCCTCACCTGCACATTAACCATGAAAACAAACTGAATGAATTCATACATCTGGCAAAAGAGGATTTGAAACACCCGGTAAAACAGAGTAAGACTCACTGAGTGTGGGAGTGGCCTTCTTGCTGGTTTTCTTCTTCTTTGTGCCGGAATCTGCTGCTGAGCCACCAAGCGCTGCAGCAAAGTCCAGATCCTCCAGCAGCACTGGGGCCTCTGCACATTCAACACACACACATCTTCATATTTGAGAAGCTGAAAATAGCATTTCCTGCCATTTTTCCGAATAAAGAATTGCTTAAAGGTCTCCTATTATACTGTTTTTCATCAATATATTATAGCTCTCAGATATATACAAAACATGTCTCTGAAGTGTTTGGCTCCAAACACCAAACAGATTATTGCAGCATTACCCATAATCCCCTCTGTTTCAGCCCTGTTTCCAAAGTGCTGATTCTCTGTCTGTTACTTTAGATGAAAATAAGGAGCCCCTCCCCACGCCCCTCTGAGAGAGATTTGGTTAAAAAGAACACAATGGTGCTCTAGGAGGAGATTCATGTGATAAGGTGGGGGGGGGGGGGGGGGGGGGGGTTACCTTGGTTGCTGCTGATTGGCTAATGGTTACTCAAGCCAAAAAATCTTTATGACATCATAAAGTGGCCAAAATCTGATCAGCTCATTTTCAGACAGGTTTTTATATAAATGGATCAGGACAAAAAGAGAGAGAATCTTTGTTCCTGAAACTTTCAGAATCTCTTTACACAGAGGGGACACATGTTGATGAAGAAGAGACATGAAGAAGAGGGGACACATGTTGATGTGGGAGAGACATGAAGAAGAGGGGTAACATGTTGATGTGGGAGAGACATGAAGAAGAGGGGACACATGTTGATGTAGAAGAGACATGAAGAAGAGGGGACACATGTTGATGTAGAAGAGACATGAAGAAAAGGGGACACATGTTGATGTAGAAGAGACATGAAGAAGAGGGGACACATGTTGATGTAGAAGAGACATGAAGAAAAGGGGACACATGTTGATGTAGAAGAGACATGAAGAAGAGGGGACACATGTTGATGAAGAAGAGACATGAAGAAAAGGGGACACATGTTGATGTAGAAGAGACATGAAGAAGAGGGGACACATGTTGATGTAGAAGAGACATGAAGAAAAGGGGACACATGTTGATGTAGAAGAGACATGAAGAAGAGGGGACACATGTTGATGTAGAAGAGACATGAAAAAGAGGATTTTGCATAACAGGTGACCTTTAAGTGATTAACCCATTATTGTGATTGTTGCATCTCTACTGTTCCAATACACTCGTCATGTACCTTTACTGGGCTGTCGCTTGGTGGCTTTCCTCTTCCCTTTGCTCGTACCTGTGAGTAGAGCAGACAGGTCAAATGGATGCAAGCCACAAATCCAAGGAAGGCCAAAAAGACAAGCACAAAGCGTGAAACAAAAAGTTAAAGATATGTATGTCACAATTAAATCTTACTTTTTTCTGACTTGACAGCAACCTCTTCCGAATCAATCACCTCCACCTGAGGACTGACCCACACAGGATAATGTCAGACATATACAGAGAGAAAGGTCAAGTCAGTTGTATCAATAATACCACTGATGGTCCCAAAACATTATTACATTTTAAAAAACACATGACTAAATGTATGGAAAATATATAGTGATATTTAACAAACATGGGACAATACAATCTGCCCAATTCAATCAAGTCACACTTACAGGTCTGAGCAGAGAGAACCAGCTGCTTGATCGCCTGCACTGCTTCCTGAAACAAAGACACTTCATGTTAGCGCTCTGTTTCTGTTTCACGCACACTCTAAAGGAAGATAAAGGAAAAACGTGAACAGTAAAGTACATATTGAAAGTTGAGAGTACCTTCCAGTTTGGAGGCCATGTCTGGTTTAGTTTTGGCTTTGAAAGGTGAAGACCGCTCCTTCTGCACACATGTAAACAAACACTTTATTTTATTTATTTGTTTATTTGGCGGGGACATTAAAAGGTAGGGTAGGTAAGAATGGAGAAACCAGCTCGAGTGCGCTAGAATTTGAAACTACGCAGCCGAAAAAAATCTGCCCCTTCCTTCAGACTTCCTTACAGAGCCCCTCCTCCAACACACACGAACGCGCACATGACCAATGAGGGCACGAGATAAGTTTGTGCACGAGATGGAAGGCTGACAGGCAGGTAGGCCATCCAGTTATTTTAGCCGGGCCGGCTAAAATAATTGGTCGTGCTTTTTACAGTACTACGGCTTCCACAGAAGACATTTTTTTATGGATTTTTTGTCAAAGCATTTAATGTATTCATTGCTATCGGGATGTTAAGGGTAGGGTAGGTAAGTTTGAGAAACCGGCTCGAGATCGCTAGAATTTGAAAATACACAACCGGAGAAAATCTGCCACTTCCTTATAGAGCCCCTCCTCCAACACACACGAACGCGCACATGACCAATGAGGGCACGAGATAAGTTTGTGCACAGATGGAAGGCTGACAGGCAGGTAGGCCATCCAGTTATTTTAGCCGGGCCGGATAACGTACTTTTTACAGTACTACGGCTTCCACAGATGAAATCTTTTTATGGATTTTTTGTCAAAGCACTTAAGATATTCATTGCTATCGGGATGTTAAGAGCATTCCATGGAATATAACAAAAAGTGTATCTCGAGCCGGTTTCTCAAACTTACCTACCCCACCTTTAATGAACACTTAAAACATGAAATATACCAAGTGTAAATATGCCGGGTTTAGCTTTGAGCTACTTTCCATCCGCAGTCCCTCACATAAAACATTACGAAAATGAAAATTACAAACATAGCAGTACAAATACATAAAATGCAAGAAAAGTGCAAGAGTAAGAGTAGAATACCCAAGTTTTTAGTACATGGTAATACAATATAGCAGCATCGATACACAAAGTGCAAGAGAAGATACCCCTGTTATGATGAACACAAGTCATTCAGACAGTGAATGGAGTGAAAGGAACACACACAGCTACACTTACACATATCTCCACAGGCAGAGGCTTTCCTTTGTGGAAGTTAGTGAGGATCAGAGCAATGGTTGTCAGAGTTTCCCCTGGAGAATAAAAACAGGGGCTTTAGTGTTGATTCACGCCTGCCAGCCTCCCTTTGTACACATTTCAAACCATGAAGACTCAAATACGGGTATATGAGGCACAGTTGTATATATTAGCCTACATGTTTTTAGTGTAACACATATTTGTCCCAGTTTTCTCCACTATATACAGCAAAAAGCGACTGACCAAACATTTCATCATACGTTTCTGTAGAATAAACTAATAATTGACTGATAAACATGTTATTTTTACTGGTTATCATGTCACATCATATGAGTTTTTACTCACCAGTCCCATGTCATCTGCCAATATTCCCCCTCGAATTATCTCTGGTATTTCTTTGGCAGAGAAGCATGTGAGAGTGTTGTAGTACAGCTCGCCTCTCTTCTCCCAAAACGGCGGCAGGGTAGATTTGTTTTCTCGAGCGCACATCCAGGACAGCGCCTCCTTCTGGTGAGGCATGAGAGGAGTACCTACAGACTGCAGAGGAGAAGAGCTGCGTGTACAATAAAGCTGCACGAAACATGACTAAAACAACACAGAAACAACTATAAGTGCAAGTAGGTTACAACCCAGAAACAATAGGCAGTTTATCCACGAACCGTAGCAAGAAAAAGAAGTTAGAAAGAAAGAAAATTCTTCTTTGATTTATTGTACATTATAATGATATACTATTCAAAATAACTGACCACAAACGACAGATAAAGAATCAAAAACAAACCTCGGCCGCTTGTTTCTCTCCGTCTTTACTCTCCATCAAACCATCAAAAAGGTTGTCAAATGCATTCTTCAGCTGAAAGTCAAAGAAAAAACAATGTGGCATAATCCTTAAATATATAGTTATACAATGAAGTCCTAACAATAATGATGAATAATGCCAAATGTTGGATTACAGTTATATATATATATATATATAATACACCAAGATCATTGAAGTGCATCACCTCCTCTGCAGACAGAGCGGTGGTCAATCCTTTTTTAGATGAGTACGCACGAGCACCCTGCCCTTGAGTATATGAGTTCTGACTTGTACCTGAAATCACAAACACACAATAAACAGTTACGTTGTTTAACAATGCATGAACATTATTTTTTGTATGTAAGGCTAGGTGGACAAGTATGAGAAGCTTTCCATTAGGAGGCAGCTGAAATGGGACGGTTGAGTTTGTTTGTACCTGTTGCTTTGCTTGCACCTGAGTTTAGTTTAAACCCGCGGCGTGACATGCTCTCCATCACAGCATTTTTATTTTCTTCTTGGCCCCAGAAGGACAGCATCACTGGCATGGTGAAGGAGTTTTTGGTCCCTGAATGCACCACGCTGACACAGCAACAACACAACATTATACACAAACAACAAACAAACGACATCCATAACATTCATCTGGCTGCAATTTAGAAATTATTTATCTAATATATCATATTCCAATCACTTGTATATAGACTCTTATTGCACTATTTTTCTTTTTGTATTTACTTGCACTATTTTTTCAGTTTTATTGTGTTGTGACCGAAGATTTTCATCGTCATGACTACACTGTAGCTATGTACGTATGACTAATAAAAGCCTTGAACCTTGAAACACATTTTAACCAACAGTAATCCCAGTAAACCTGACCTACTGTAAATAAGTAGAGAGATTATTTAATATTTTAAAAAGAATCTAATCAAATGCAGATCTTTATGTGGAGAGACAGTCAAAAGCAGCCTTTGATGTCCATGTTTAGAGTAAGTAAGGTTGCTGGGAAGATATTCTGATAAGAAATGTGCAGGAAATGACACCGACAGACGCAAATAACACTCCACTCACCCCTCTACTTTCGCCAAATTGTTGTCCATAACATGAGCCATTGCTGCCGCCAGCTCCCGCTTAATGTGACCCACTTGGTTGCCATAAATGTTGGACACCATCACTGCATTGCGGTCGTATGGATTCTGGGGCTGTCGCACCAAACCGACCATTTCCCCTTGATTCACCTGAAAAAGTGAGTAAAACACAGAAACTTTGAGGTATTAGTTCTCATTTGTGAATCAGCGCATTAGAGCAGGGGGGTCCAAACTGCCCACAAATGAAACTTGTGCTTGTCTTGTATTGTATTGTACTTCTTAAATATATATGTAAACAAATATTACACTGTATTCATGTGTTAATAAGCCAACTTTTAAAATAAATTCAGTCAATTACATTTGAAAACATGTTCTAACAAATCTAACTTGATAAGAAAAAAGCCCAAAAATGTATTTGTATAACAAGCGTGAAATAAACCCTTCATATTTCCCCTAATTATAACAATCTGAGGCTCCTGTTTTAAGGGATGAGCTGCCAACTAAATAAATGAAACCCTCTGGAGAGCTGGGATCGAGGCGGTTTTTTCTTAAAGCATATTCAAGTAACAAGCATAATTGACCTACATTTGATTGATGTTGCTGACTTATAACTTAACTTATGAGGCAATACACCTCACCTCACCTAGTGGCCCAGCCCTTCTTATAGTTTTGTTTGTGGCCCTCTGTGAAAAGTTTGGACACCCGTGCACTAGAGGAATAAAAGTGATCTATCCTCACCACCCCTGTATAGAATCTGAGGCCGACCACAGTGCCCTGCAGGTGGCCAAACGGCACGCTGCCGTCTGCGTCCGGCTCCTCAGACGCAGCGGCTCTGATGGCCTGCGAGAGCGTCTCTGCACTGGCGTCATAGCGGTCTGTGAAGAGGTCCACCTCACTGTAACTGTCCCAGCCGAACCCCCACCTGCGAGAGAACATGACGCCTGGAAAACACCCACAAAGAGACAGCATTAAAGATCTCCGACTCCTATTATACTGTTTTTCATCAATATATTATAGCTCTCAGATATATACAAAACATGTCTCTGAAATGTTTGGCTCCAAATACCAAACAGATCATTGCAGCATCCCATTACCTTGGTTGGTGATTGGCTAATGGTTACCAGAGATGGGGTCGTTACTAAAAAAAAGTAATATATTACATATTACATATTACTTTAAAAAAAAGTAATATATTACACTACTTCGTTACTCTCTACATAAAGTAACTCGTTACTTTACTCGTTACTTTACTCGTTACTTTACTCGCAGGGCCGGCCCGCCCCTCCATGCAGGCAGATCACGCAGACTGCTAAAGTTTCAAATGTTCTCTTTAGTTCAGTTTCCATTGTCGCATAAGACTGATCCAGATATCTCTGACTATGGCTGTCCTCTGTCTCCTGCTATCTGTATTTTGCGCAGTATATCTCTGAACGATGCGATGGTGATTCCACTGTGCAAATGGGCAACATTACCTCTACTATGAAGGATGCTACAAGCCTGTCCATCTCTGCTTTGGTTACCGGTCCTCCAAATTCTAATTTGTGCCGCTTCAGAGTCGGCGGCGGCGCACTCACAACATCCTCACTCTGGGTTCGGGGGGTCCTTAGCTATTAGCTTCACCTTAGCATGTGTTCTTTGCAGGTGTTTGTTGAGGTTTGACGTGGGTGTTTGCAGCAGTGGATAACAGCTTCTGGCCTGGACACAGTTTGCACCTCACCGTCACATTCCTGTCTATTCTTCGGACGAACTCAAAATAATGGGCATACCTCCACCCCTCGAAAGTTATCGCTGACTCAGCCATGTTTATGCAGCACTGCACGTGGAGATGTGGACGCGCAAGTCGCGCAGATTACGTACATATAAACCTGCGGCGGAAACCCCTCTTGTCTGTCAGTGTGATTATGACTGATTTTATAAAAGTAACGAAGTAACGCGTATCGGGGCAATGTTAGTAACTGTAGTGTGATTACTGAATTATAAAAGTAACGCGTTACACTACTCCGTTACCGACAAAAGTAATATTATTACAAGTATTACTTGTACACGCGTTACACCCAACTCTGATGGTTACACAAGCCAAAAAATCGTTATGACATCACAAAGTGGCCAAAATCTGATCAGCTCATTTTCAGACAGGTTTTTATATATATATAAAAAAATATATATATTTTATCTTTTTTCCTGAAACTTTCAGAATCTCTTTACACAGAGGGGACACATGTTGATGTAGAAGAGACATGAAGAAGAGGATTTTGCATAATAGGTGACCTTTAAGGAAATACCTTTTGACAGATGATAAAGTGACAACATGAGCAATAAAAAAACACTTTTATGGGGGCACAGTGTTGAAGCTGCAGGTAGGGCTGGGCATTTATCATATGACAACCCTATTGTGATATGAGACTAGATATCTTAGTTTTTACATATGATAATATTGCAGTATCTTTAAATGTCCTGGTCTGCATCAAAGTAAGTGGATGTAAATAAAACTAGCTGCACCTTTCACCAGCTTAAGGAATTATATTTAAAACAATATGATACATTATTCGCTAAGGATTGGCATTCGTTCACATTAATGATTAACTTTTACTTTTGGTAACTTAAGTATATTTTGATGATAATACTTTTGTACTTTTACTTGAGTAACATTTTGAATGCAGGACTTTTCTGGGAGTATTCCTTAACTCTGGTACTAGATCTGACTACTTCTCCCACCTCTGGAAAGCAACCATAGTCATCATCCCTACATTAACGGTGCGATATCGAGGTATTTGATTTGAGAAGTTACACTACTACACACCTGTTTACTATCAGGAGAAGTTAGACAGAGGTGGAAGAAGTACTCAGATCTTGTACTTGCCTAAAAGTAGAAACACCAGAGTGTAGGAATACTCTGTTACAAGTAAAAGTCCTGCAATCAAAATGTTACTCAAGTAAAATTGCAGCAAGTACTCGCATCAATTGATTATACTTATGAATGCATTCATGTGTTTATCAAAGCTAGTTAAGGTGCAGCTAGTTTGAATGACTTTGTGTACTGCAGGGGAGCTTGTGAATTCTCTCCAGGTGGAACTAAAGTCTGATTTAATCAGTAAATAGATGTAAAGTAAGTTAAAGTTATGTAGTGGAATAAAAGTAGACTATTTACCTCTGAATTGTATTGGGGTAGAAGAACAAAGTAGCAAACAAATTAAATAGTCAAATACAGTACAAGTACCTCAAAATTGTACTTAAGTTACATGTACTTGGTTTCTTTCCAACCGTTAATGATAACAAAGCTAGCTTTCTTCTTCTTCGTTCCTGTTGTTTTAATTAGCGGTTGGCAAACAGCTTTAAGGTGCATTCATGTAAGCTAGCTAATAGATGAACGTTATTTAACGGTAGCTAACTGCCGGTTTTAGTTATCGTTAGCTTTAAGTACGCTATCGTGTCAGCAATACGTCAATGTTAAAGAATTAGAGACAGAGTGTGTGATGTATCTGTAATAAGCTTAGACTGTCTGTGTGTATATATATATAAAGGTAATTAGCAATGTCTTACTGTTTATCTGCTCCTCCGCGCCTGTCGACTTTTCTAACAGTGGATTGTTGTTTCCGGTTGTAACCTTCAAAATAAAATCTTATTTTGGGATATTTTATAATGATCTACAAATTGTTTGTTATCTGCACATTTGTTTATATTATTAATTTGATTCAGGGATTTAAATATATATTCTTTTTCATATTTATTGAGGGGGAAATCCCTTAGTGTTTATTTATTTGACAAGGGACCTTAAGTGGGTTTATTGAGTTAATTGATAAAAATGTACCTTGACAATGTCACATTTTAAATTGATGTTCAATTTTGGGGGACTGACGATGAACCACACTGGTGGTCCAGAGGTCTATGCATTGGTTCTCCATGCAGGTGCTTGAGGTTCAATCAACACCCAGGGGTGGGGTGCATCTTATGTCTTCTGCTATGCTGATGTAAAATATAGTATAGACTCTTCTTGCACTATTTCTATTTTATTTGTATTTACTTGATCTTACAACATTATCTTGCACTATTTTATTTATTTTATGTTATTTCTTGCACTGTTTTATTTGTTTCATGTCCTATATATATTATGTTGCATTGTTGGAGGAGCCTCACGTTTTGTATTGCCATATCTATACTGTAGCCAGGCCCGTACCCAGGATTTCGTATACCGAGGTCCAAAACATGCTAGGGGAGCAGGCCCATTTTGGGGATTTTCTAGATATCTGTTTTCAAGTCCTGTGGGGGGCACAAATTGGATGATATATTGATTTCAAACCATGTCAGTGGGCTGCAGCATAACTTATATTTGAAAGTGTAATGCATGAGAATCAGTTGATTGTTACCAATAATGATCTACATTATAACCTGGACATGCAGAAGTGCTCACAACATATTGGAAAAGTAATCTCTCTGTCGTCTTTCTGTTTATTACTCTTTCTGTCCTCTACTAATCCCTTATTGTGTATGCTCCTCCTCACTTGTCGCTCCTGCCAGTGTATTACAAATCATTTTATAAAGCTCTCTAGCTATTTGATTCACGCAATTCAAACCAAAGTATAGCCTATAGCTCCAATATAAGTTATTGTGCATGTTGTCGTACGTCCACTGACTAACGTAGTGCGTTAATTCACACAGGATCTGCTGGTCATATGATGTCCTGATCAACAGAAACACAAATCAAGCCTAACGAATAATTACTTCAAACTGGCTTTACTCACTTGAATTGCTCCTTAGAATGTAATTTTCTCTGTGGTTCTCTATGCAACACATTTTTGTATTGTAATGCCACTCGTATTTTATTTATTTGTGTATTGTAAGGTGATATTGAATGTTTTGAAAGGTGCCCTCAAATAAAATGTATTATTGTTACTGTATCTGTGCCTCTCTCACACTGTTAATGTTCTTCTTTTTTTCGACAAGGTTAATCCTGGTGTCCATAGGGAAGATCTGCACGGTTTCTCTACAGCCCATGTTCAGCAGAACAGGCGGTGCAGCTGCCTGGTTTGGCACCCCCACTATAACTTTGTCCAAGGTGGTCGTACTCCCACCAAGATCACACTGGTGTTTGCTGTCCCCCTCTAGTTTGTGCACACAAAAGCATTTTACTCTGGGCTCAGCATGTGAGAAACTAAAGAGGGTCTTCCACATGTGGCAGACCAGTGCCATGTACTACGAATCCAGTTCAACATACCCTGGATATGTTTGAGTTATCTGGCTTAACTAACCCTAACAAACGCAATCTCGCTAAGCGGTCCTACGACGCTGGTTATCAACTCGGTAAATCAACCCAGGGGATGTTTCTTAATGTCGAGGACGCATCCTTGGTAGGACATGTCCTTCCGAGTCAGGTCCTACAGAGGCTAGGCAAGAATCCTTCCTAGCATTCAGAGAACGAAGAATGGAACAGACTAGCAAGTGTGCAGGTGTGCGTCATATGCAAGGCCCCGTCTTACATTGAGCGCAATTTGTTTGAAGACTCATAACTGATTTTGCGAAGATCGAAGATGGTACTTGAGTAAACTGTATTTTGTAAAATGATCATCTCTCCAGGACAGAAACACTAAACTAACATAAAACGTTTCTCCTTCTGTTTGCAGCCATTGAAAAAGTCCTGGATGATAAGCAGCCATAAAGAAAATCATTAAAATCACCATCAACCAATTCAATAACATTTGTATTCATATATCATACTTGATGTCTGCAAACCTTTTTTTAAACATATTGGTGCACATTGTAGCATAAACCATAAATATCAACAAAAGAGGCAAAGTCAAAACAAGGTTCATTTTAATTATTTAGGTGCAAAATGCTCTAAGGTCTCATTCACACCTAATAGTCCGCTTCTCTGGTGCGCACCAGAAGACAGTTTGTTACATTGTTTCATTTTTCAGAAGGTTCGGTTTGCGTTCACACGGGTAAAACTCAAACGGCCTATAAACTGTAAACACAAGTCATGTGCACATTTACTACGCCACTGAACATACTTACATTTAAATGTGTGCTGCCTGGATTCAGCCATTTTCCGCCAAAGATTTTGGAAATTGGTCCGTGTGCAAAGAATTGTGGGTAATTTAAGACCGCCGAGGAACCACATGAGCAGCCTCGAAATTTCCCGCAACGAAGGACTCAGTCCTCGGTAGAATTCCAAGGATCCTGTACATTGGAACAGTCCTTCAGCGGGATTCGATGACTATCCTTGAAATAGTGGCTCTGAAGGATCCTTCCTTGACATTAGCCGCTTTCAAACCAAGTACTTTGCGGTACTTAGTTCCCGGTACTTAATTCCCCCGAACTCTTTAGTTCCTGCAAACTGTCCTAGTAGATCGTGTTCACACCGGAATAAGTCCCTGAGGGAGGAGTTACTGCAAATTGAAGCCGCTGACGTCACTTCTTCTTCTTCTGCTTTGGGTTTACTGGCAGGAAAACACCTTCACCACGTCGAATGCAATAGCAATGCTGTTTTTTCTTTTTGTGTTGCCATAAGTTAGTCCTCTCTCCGTTTGGTGCGCTGGGCTAATGCTAATGCTAATGCGAGCTAAATAAAATGGCAGCGTCACAGAACTTTTCAGAGTTTTACGAGGCGTGGTTTTCAATTCGCCAGCCAATCAGAAATGTTAGTGTGGCCGACACCCACGAACCTTTTTCTCCCCAGGAAAGTCCCCTGCTCTCTAGCAGGAAATATCTCGGGGTGAAAAGGCTTGTGCAAACTAGGGACTAGGCCCAGATCCTTTTTAGTGTGAAAGCAAAATCCCAAGAACTATCAGAACTATTCCTGGAAAAGTACTCGGTCCGACCGGCCCACTTCGGTACCGGCCGCCACCGGGAAAACTCCCGGTATTCCCAATGGCCAGTCCGCCCCTGGTGTTCAGCATAAGTTACCATGGAGATCTACCCCGGTGAGAAGTGAACCAGCGTCGTAGGACCGGAAACCCAGAGTTAACCCTGAAGTTACCTCGCTAACCGAAAATCCTGCTTCGTAGTACACGTGACTCACGTGACTTTTAGCAGTAATACTCCGTGACGTGAGAAGAAAAAGTTTTGCACTTGTAAAAGAAAATGTAATGCGTTTGTTTGATAGATAAGTTTTTTATTTGCAAAACTAAATGCATTAGTTTGTAGATGGTGTTTTGTATTTGCAAACCACACTGTGTTTGTAAGTGAATCATAAGGCATTGTAAAAGTTTGTTTGTGGAGTTGTTGGCAGGAAATTAGCTCCATAGTTTGTTCTGTTTTGCACATCCTTCTATTAATATCTTTGTACACTCCGGCACTAAACTGTTTTATTCTAGATATAATTTACAGTATCTTCTTGATATTTTCTATTCTATATTTCTAGCATTGACCTTCTACTTTCCCCCTATTTTGTATGTACTCTTAATATTAAAATGTTTTCATAAAATATAACACATTCAACCAAAACATGCAGCAGACCTTAGGCAGGCAAGGCAGGTTTATTTATATAGCACCTTTCAACACAAGGCAATTCAAAGTGCTTGAAAGACATTAAAGGTCCCATGTCATGCTTTTCCGGTTATTACCCGTCCCCTTGTGTGTTATGTAGCTTTTTCTGCATGTAACGCCTCTGCAAAGTCACAAAACCCTCAAAGTACACCCTGTAGCGAGTAAAACTCTAACACAGAACGTGCTAGTGGAGCCTCGAAACTGGCGCTTGCACTAATAGCGCCGCATAAGCGCATAGAGGTGCGCCGCTTTTGCGCTTCTGATGAGGCCCCCTCCGTGAGGAAACGACACCAGTAATACAGCTCACACTGCAACGTCCCGCCAACACGGCACTCAGACCCCACGCAGCATTCTCATATGTTTGTCATTACTGGTGTCATTTTCTGGTTGCTAACAAACGCCATTGTAACACATAAAATACATACATGAATACACATACTATACAGAGATGCTGTATGAGAAAACCAATGTGATTTTGGAACATTGAACAATGTAAATCTATTCTAGTATACCTCAACAATGGAATTATGATCAGTGGAAATGGCCATGTCATGGGACCTTTTAAGAAAAAGGCATTTAAAAACAGTCATTAAAAAGCAACACAATCGACCTGCATTGCAATTACTCTAAACGTGTAATAAGTAAGGGATAATGTGCAGCGAGGCCTTCATCGTGATCAGCCTGTCGGGTGTTATTTTACCCATAATGACCAAGTTGCTGAACATTATCCCGCTTATTACGAGGCCACATTCTCAACAAAGTAACGACATGACTCCCAATATTAATTGAAATGCTTTTATTGATTTATTTTTTCCTCTGGTCTTCTAGCCTTAAAGTTTGATGTCCATCATGTTGTGATCTTGGCTGGGCGGCAATTTAACGATTTTCTCTTGACTCTGATTTGTGAATCTGATTTGTTAGTTGCTATGGATGGGGTCTCGGAATAGCATTGGTTTCAAATGTAAGTTTTCGCTATCTTAGGGTCTAATTCTCCCCCAATAATAATGGTTTTATTGTCAAGAGGGCTATAGTTAAAAAAAAAAATGCATGAAGTTCCCCTTAAAAACCACAGCCCTGGTCTGTAGGGGTGCCATGGTCTATCATGTGCATGGCTGGTACATGGTGTGCCAGTTCTGTCGTTCAGACTTGTCACCGTTCTCCTGCTAAAAGTCACTCTCTAGTTCTGCTGGGTTCTATTGATTTCTTCACTGGTTTGAGACAAGTGGCCCTATTGGTGACACCTCCCTTTGTAGCCAGACTTTACCACAGCAGAGTCGAGTTTCTTTCTTTAGGCCTGAACAGCTCCACAGTCAGGTGTATCCAGGATGGTGTCTCTGCTCCTCCAATTGCAGCTGGTGTAGACAGGAGCACTTGGTAGGGACCCTCACACTTGGACGAATGCCAGGTTTTCCTCTTCATCACTCAGATGAAGACCCACTGTCCTGGTCTCACTGGCTGTGTGGGGGAACAACAACACTTGTGATCTCTTTTCATCTCAACATTTTAGCCATATTTTCTACTGTGTTTTCTCCAATGTTTTTATCTTCTCTTAAAAATTATTTTGGCTCTGGCAGATAATACAGATATTTCGGTTCAGGTGTTTTTACTCTTTTTGGTCTAAACTGTCCCTGAGGATTTATAGAATAATTATTATAAAATAAAAGTGTTTTCTTCAGTAGTTTGTTAGCTAATGCTACTAACACCTTTTGAATAACATTCAACATCTCCCTCCTGTTGAGACATATATGGCTCAATATAGCTAGATATCGAAATAGGCTTCTGGGCTTCCCATAGGCTTACATGTGTGCATAGATGTGTTCCATAGTATCTTATCTAATGTGTTTAGTTCCAAATATCTAATTCTTTGTCCAATGTTCCGGTGTTATCATTAAGGTCGGTGTCTTTGTCGTCAGAGTCTGAAAACTCATTTAATATACTCCCTCCGTGTGTGTGTTGTGTGTGTGTGTGTGTGTGTGTGTGTGTGTGTGTGTGTGTGTGTGTGGGTGTACATGACCTGATTAAGAACATTCAGTATTTTCCCAACATGTATAAATTAACTTTAGCCTGACTACTCCGTAATACGTTATTATTAGCCAACTACTCTCGCTAGCTAAACTTACAAGACTAACTAAACTTCCTGTTAACTACTAGCAAGACAACGCAACACATTTCAGCCAAGGTGCTAAAGCTTGTTCGACTCAAATACACATACAAATATCACATTATCTTGTATCCTATTGTATCAATCAATCAATCATCTATAAATTGTAGAAATGAACACAATTCGTTTTGAAATGATTTTATAGTATAAAAGCACTTCTTAAAGGAAAGTTGGGTTGAACATTTATAATCCAACATTTAAATGTGTATGTGCTTGTGTTTCATACCTTCCACATGGGGCTGTATGATTGCAGCCAGTTGTTGATCTATCTTCTGCAGTATCTCATGCAGCTCACGCAGATTGGTGTTCGACAGAAAACCAATCTTTTCCATTTCAGCAAACACATCCAGTGCTGTCTGCAATTAACAGAGGAGAAATCCTGAAATTATTATTATGACTTCAGTAGTAGTATTGTTGCAGTGCACAAAAACAATCAAACTATATAAATACACAGTAAAAATGTTCCAAGAAGTCAGTATTCATCTCCAGCGCTTTCGAGCGGCAATGGCCGGTGTCAGTACCATATGTGTTCGCCCTACCATGGGTGTTTCTCAATCGCGAGTACGCTTGCTTGGTAGCACATGTCTGCCGAGCATCTTGCTTCAGAAGCGAGGCAAGAATACTTCCTGGCATTTGGAAAACAAAGGCCGTTTCTCAATCGCGAGGATATTGGCTTCCAAGCCAATATTTCAAGGATGCTACGTCATCGAGTGCCGCCGAAGGACTGTTCCAATCTCCAGCATACTTGGAATTCCACCAAGGCCGCGTCCTTGGTTTGGGGGAAATTTCGAGGCTGCACATGGGTAGACTTCGCGTCCTTAAAATCCCCACAATGCTTTGCGCACGGACCAATTCCCCCAAATCTGTGGCGGAGGATGTAAGGCGGGGCCTCTCATATGACGCACACCTGCTCACTTGCTAGCCTGTTCCACATTATTCAGAGGGCTATCACAATATATTGTCATGCATTTCTTTATTATCAATGCATGTGTATTTGTTTTATCTCCCCCCAAATAATAGTAAATAGCAGCATTTTAATATTGTGGTTTATCATGATTATCTGAGTTTGTTCTCACCTTGCATGCCTCAATTTTGTTTCTGCCCAGCTTGTCACTCAAAAAGAACTTCAAATCTTCAAAATGTTTCACAGTCATGTCCGCATAGATTTTGTACAGCACCACCCTGACAGAAAGAGGAGTATAGTGAAACACAAACAGCAGAAACAACCAGACACATTTAGGATACAGACTTTGCCGAACAAACTGTACTTTTGTAATCCTGTTATTTCCCCCGGTTACTGTAAATATGTACCTGTATTCTGACAGCACGGGATTTGCGTTGGTTTCTTCTGGTCGCCTGCTGTCCGTCTCCAGGAGGCGGAGGAGATCGGGTCGCCGGATGGTTTGGAGCAGCTGACGGAGGTAGGAATAGTCCTTCAGCAGACCTTGTTCTTCTAGTGTCACAAAGAGCCTTTTTGCATCATTGATCTGTGTTAGAACAACAGAGAAACACAAAAATAAACTTTGGAGAAAAAGATGCAACAGCTGAGAAAGTTGTCTTAGCTAATGATTGAAGATAAGTTATGGACCCAAAGGAGCTTCTCACAGTGTTTATTTTAGTAAAAAGCAAGTGAAGTGGGGGTTTGCAGGTAGAGAAATAATTTTTCGCTCAAAAATTAATAAATGTTTACTGTGTCTCTACTTCTTTAATTTGTGTTGAATATGAAGCATTTTGTGGATTTTGCTTGATGAAGCTGACATTATTATATTAAAGTCATTATCAATGTTAAAATGAAAAAACTATTTGCAAATATTTTACAATTATAAAAAAAAGCCAAAAGTGTCCATAGTTAGGGGTCAATAAGACAACTTTTCCTCAGAAGCAGGGTTGAGACAAGTGGAGGAAGTGCACAGATCCAATACTTAAGTCAAATCACTTATACCACATTGTAAACATTGAAAGAAAAAGTTGGGCATTGACAAAGTTACTGATTAAGTGTTAAAGTACTCACTAAAGAAAAAGGTCCCCTGTCATTGTTGTAAAAATCATGTAAATGTAAGAAAAAAAAGACCTGGATTTACAAAATACGATAAGGCCGGTTTATTTGTCTTATTTCATTCATACTTTATGCAAAACATGAAGTTTGGATTCTTAAGTAAATGTATGGACAAACTTAATAAAAGGATATATCAAAAAGTGTATTATTTCCTCAATGTTCCTGTTTTTGTTATTGCAGTTCTGTATACATTTCTCTGCAATCATCTTAATTTGTAGCGTAAATAATGCTGTCAGACAAATAGAGTGTAGTAAAATACCATAATTCTCTCTGAAATGTAATAAGTGACAAGTAGAAAGTGGCATGAAAATAAATTACTCAAGTACAGTATCTACAAATCGTATTTAAGTACAGTACTGTTCTGAGTTACATTCCACCTCTGAGTATCAGATAAGTTGAGCTCACCCCCTCCAGGCGTTTAATGTTGACCACATCCCGAGACAGGAAGATGAGAGCTTTCACCTCGGAGGACACCAGCTGCTCATCGATGTGATAAAGCGTCAGTCTCTCCACCCTGATCACCATATCATCTAAAAGGTCTACCTGCGTGACTGGACTAATAGTTGTCATAATTTTGAAATTCTTCAATCTACCGATTAATCTTTCAATGGGTATTCTCACGTTAGAAGAACGCCTTGATGTGTCCACTTCTTGCGCAGAGAGCTTCTTCTTAACTTTGGTCAAATTAGGGATCTTAAGGGTGGCAAATGTATCTCTGATGGTAAAACCACGATCAGCTCTTATCTTATCATTTCGCTCAAGGTAATAAAATCCAATAATTTGTTTATCAGAATCCCGCCCACCCCAATCTGGTGACAGAAAAGTAATGGCTCCTGCAGGTGACATGCCAACCAAAGACTTAACAGTGTTGTGGCTTTTATAAGTCGAATATGTCTGTGCTCTGGAGGTAAAATGTGTGAGTTTGTTAATAAAATTCTCTTTGCAGTCAATAATGCGCCTGCAACGTTTGTATTTAGGTCTAAAATATTTTGGCATATTCTTTAAAATTGCATGCTTGCTTGGCCACTTGAGAGGTTCTAAAGTCTCAGACATAACAAGGAGCCAACTTCTCAACCTTTTTGAGATGTTACATTCTGTGACATTAAATATGAATGTAATATCTTTGTTGCTAAGCCCTAACCAGAGTTTCATTTTGCTCTTGATAGAGCTAAAAAAATGGGTGTTTCTGGATGTCTCTTTTAGTTCCTCATTTTGAGATCTGAGTTTGTCATTCTCTGAACGCAGGCTGACATTCTCTGCAGAAAGTTGGCGGTACTCGAGTTTGAGGTCATCATGGAGAACCTTCGGGACCGTGGCTTCTGAAATAGAGATTAAATTGGAGTTTAAACCACTTCAATTCTAAAAGATGCATCTGATCGCTATAATTATTGGACATATGTTTTTAGACTGTATGTGCTAAAGAAAATAATGTTCAACTTCAAACACAACACAGTCCTGCTGGATTGGATAAATGTATAGTGTAGTGTACAAATGTCTAATAGTAACTGCCCTGTAGGAGCCATTTAGGGGTGGTGTTGTTATGTCAGTTTACTTTATTTATATTTTATACTGCAATACTATTTTGAACACTTGGTGGCGGTGTTTAGCTGCACCGGGTGTATAAAGGGGTCACGGGTGACAGGAAATGATGAGGACACAGGAGGAAGAGAGCATACCGATTCCACCAGCCCGGCAGATGCTAACCACAACCATATAATTTAAACCTTGGTATGTAAACGCTAAATAAACATCATTATAAACTGCACCAAAGGACCGGAAAGTCATCTGTTTGTGTCTACGTCTGGATCACTCTCCAGCCCTCCTTTGAAATGGCAAAGGATATAGGACATTGGAAGAATAAAATTGCCATTACAAGAATAAAATTGCCATTACATGCCCTATTTCAGTTATGATATTTGAAGTCCTTACCAGTGCAAGGACCAGCACAATGCTCCATTCTGCAGTCATCTGAAGACAGGCAAGCGACTGCTGATTCCGATATAACCTCATCAGTGGCTTTTGTGGACTGGTGTGCATTCTCTGGTGGTCTGGGGGTATTTTCATCTCTTTTTTTCTTTCTCTTAAATCTGATACCAACAGAAGAGAACAAGCAGTTAATACCAAAACAGTTCATTGAGCAACAATAAGCTTAGGCCAAAGATTTGTATCAGGTCCCCAAATCAAGTCAAGTGTTAATCACATAGCATGCCTCAAAGGGCCTTCCAAGACAATGCAACATAACAGAAACGATCTGGTCTAAGAAATATCTTCCAAAAAAAAAATGCCACATTAAATTACTTTCCATACCATATCTGCATGTCGATGCATGCTATGCGACCCCAATGAGCAGCTAAATAAGGTGAAAGTGACTATACTTACCTCTTAAGTTTATCGCCTTTGATGACATCAGACAGGATTGAGAAGAAAATGACAGACTGGGCAAAGTTGGGACTGTTGAAGTCCATGGATACCTCTCCTGTAAAAATAAAGTTTATCCTGGTGATTGACAATACAATATAGTGTATACATTTACTTTAGCCTGACTACGCCGTAATACGTTATTATTAGCCAACTACTCACGCTAAGCTTACAAGACTAACTAAACTTCCTGTTAACTACTAGCAAGACAACGTAAAACATTTCAGCCAAGGTGCTAAAGCTCGTTCGACTCAAATACACATACACAAATCACATTATCCTGTATCCTATTGTAGGTTAAGAATACAACCCAATAATTATATCAATCGCCGTTTGTTGTTGTGAGCTAACCCAAGTGATGACTGATTTTAGCGTTACCAGAGGCCTCTACTACGAAGCCGGATTTTCGCTTAGCCGGCTAACTTCAGGGAAAACTCGGGGGTTTCCGGTCCTACGACGCTGGTTCTCTTTTTAGCGGGCTAGATCTCCATGGTAACTTATGCTGAGCGGCTAACCTCCTCGGGAGGAGGTTAGGTTGCAGGCTAAGAGATCAACTCAGTGAAAGCACCGTCTGCTGACCAATCAGAGCTCAGTGTGCGGAGTTTAAAGCGATCAATTCATATTACAGGAGAAAGGAAATACAGAAAGACGGCCGCCAAAAATCAACAGACTGTGTGAACGTGACAATGAATAGAATATCCCCTCCCATCTTCAGAGCAATCTGACTATTATAACATTAGCGTTAAGAAAGCTTACTTAAATATCTGCCACAACATAAGTAACCGGATCAAAGTAACATTAAGTACAGTCCGCGGCACTGTGAGTGCAGACGGCGATGTGTCCCATTATCATTCATATCATATCACACTCACAGTGTCACATACTGTATGCAGAAGTATTATTTTAAGCAACACATTAAGTTGACGAAACACTCAAGTCAAATTCTCCTAATTAAAGTCAGATCCACTCGTGTCTTGGACGGGGCAGTGATTTCATGAACCTGTTAATGTACGCATTCAAACACTTTTTCTTTTACCAGCTGTATTCACCTTGCAGGTGCAGCTATGTGGCTTTTATCCTGGATAAAGTGTTTAAGTCATGGATGTTTAAAGTTTAACTTCTTCATATTTGACTAATATTAAAGTTCACTTTTCATTCAGGAAGTATGACGCTGCGCTGTCAGTACGCTTGTCCATGTTTGAGATTGGTCGAATGCTCCAAATACCACCCCTTTCATGTGAACGCGCACCTAACTAGATAGGACACGGCTGGCTTGAGCGATCCACTTGATAACCAGCGTTGTAGGACCGCTTAGTGAGAGCGCGTATGTTTTGGATTAGGCCAACCGGCTAACTCAAACATATCCAGGTTAGGTTGAACCGGCTTCGTAGTACAGGCCTCTGATATGAAATGCAAGCTGCAAAGTAGGGCATTTTGAATTAGGTCCTCGTTCCAGTCGGTTCTTCGGAGGGCTTGTAACCGAAGACGTCTGCGGTTAGCATTAAAAGGAGTGTGCTTTGATGGTATTCGGTAAGAATTAAGAAATCTGTTAACAGATTTATGATTCTGGCATCCCACAGCACAACACGACATGTTGCAGGAAGTCTTTTGCAACCGACATGCGCAGTTGAACCTACGTGACGTCAATGTGATGTAGGGTGATACTTCGTCTATAAATTGTAGAATGAACACAATTCGTTTTTGAAATGATTTTATAGTATAAAAGCACTTCTTAAAGGAAAGTTGGGTTGAACATTTATAATCCAACATTTAAATGTGTATGTGCTTGTGTTTCATACCTTCCACATGGGGCTGTATGATTGCAGCCAGTTGTTGATCTATCTTCTGCAGTATCTCATGCAGCTCACGCAGATTGGTGTTCGACAGAAAACCAATCTTTTCCATTTCAGCAAACACATCCAGTGCTGTCTGCAATTAACAGAGGAGAAATCCTGAAATTATTATTATGACTTCAGTAGTAGTATTGTTGCAGTGCACAAAAACAATCAAACTATATAAATACACAGTAAAAATGTTCCAAGAAGTCAGTATTCATGTCCATGAACATTTCCATATAATTTATCAAGGGGGCGTAACAAGTCTGACACGTATTCACTACGTCATCCTGGGAGTTTCCCTTTCATCGAGGGCCTACTACATACCTGCCATGGCCCAGCCCAAAATGACGCGCTACATCGGTAATTGTGAAACCATTATTCCTACTCCCCCAAAGCAATAAATACTAGTTATGAAATACGGCTTTTTATTTATTTAAACTCTTTCACACCCAGAACCTCGAGTAGTCAGTAACATTCAAAATAAAAATGGTAAGTGCAACATTGTGCAAATGTGAAAATCTGAGTATTTCTATTCCATTTCTATGTAATTACTGCTATATTTTACTATATTTTTTATTATTTTTAATGTTATTATAGTTTTCTTAAAACAGTTCTCTATCTGTGTTTTTTATTCTTGTTTTACTTTTATGTACGCACCATGACATCAAGTCAAATTCCTCGTACGTGTCAACCTACCTGGCAATAAACCTGTTTCTGATTCAAAATAGGAATTATATAATATATTTATATGGAATTAAGAAATAACTCCAGTGTAAATAGCAGATCTAACTCAAAAGGTGTACCCTATGTCTAGAAGACAGTTGTTGATTGATAGTAAGTCTAATGGATTGTATCGGATTATACTTTTTGTTTTCCCCCTGTGTAGCACACATTATTCAGAGGGCTATCACAACAGCTTTGTCGATGGGGTTTAGCTTAGTGTCGGAAACTTGTTCTATGCCAATAATTAAGAAATCATGTAATAATAAAGTAAAAGATCCTCAATTTTCTCTTTCCAGTTTGTCATGCATTTCTTTATTATCAATGCATGTGTATTTGTTTTATCTCCCCCCAAATAATAGTAAATAGCAGCATTTTAATATTGTGGTTTATCATGATTATCTGAGTTTGTTCTCACCTTGCATGCCTCAATTTTGTTTCTGCCCAGCTTGTCACTCAAAAAGAACTTCAAATCTTCAAAATGTTTCACAGTCATGTCCGCATAGATTTTGTACAGCACCACCCTGACAGAAAGAGGAGTATAGTGAAACACAAACAGCAGAAACAACAGACACATTTAGGGATACAGACTTTGCCGAACAAACTGTATTTGTAATCCTGTTATTTCCCCCGGTTACTGTAAATATGTACCTGTATTCTGACAGCACGGGATTTGCGTTGGTTTCTTCTGGTCGCCTGCTGTCCGTCTCCAGGAGGCGGAGGAGATCGGGTCGCCGGATGGTTTGGAGCAGCTGACGGAGGTAGGAATAGTCCTTCAGCAGACCTTGTTCTTCTAGTGTCACAAAGAGCCTTTTTGCATCATTGATCTGTGTTAGAACAACCGAGAAACACAAAAATAAACTTTGGAGAAAAAGATGCAACAGCTGAGAAAGTTGTCTTAGCAATGATGGAAGATAAGTTATGACCCAAAGGGAGCTTCTCACAGTGTTTATTTTAGTAAAAAGCAAGTGAAGTGGGGTTTGAAGGTAGAGAAATAATTTTCGCTCAAAAATAATAAATGTTTACTGTGTCTCTACTTCTTTAATTTGTGTTGAATATGAAGCATTTTGTGGATTTTGCTTGATGAAGCTGACATTATTATATTAAAGTCATTATCAATGTTAAAATGAAAAAACTAGATATTTTACCATACAACATTTGTTTTGTAGTCAATGTAGCAAATATTTTACAATTATAAAAAAACGCCAAAAGTGTCCATAGTTAGGGGTCAATAAGACAACTTTTCCTCAGAAGCAGGGTTGAGACAAGTGGAGGAAGTGCACAGATCCAATACTTAACCTGTTTAGCCCTGAGCCTGTTTTTCAGGTCTCAGGCTCGAAAATGACATTCCCAGAACAAATGACCATATCTTCCCTTCTAAAAGGGTTAAATTAATAATCTTTTTTCTCAAAGTAATGATAAACCTGTGAGTTGGATGTAGAAAAGTCAGAACAATATAGATGTTTTTTATTTTAAAGAAAATTCAGATTTTACATAGTAAAAAACTGTAAATTATAGTGTCCGTCCAATTTTTTTTTTTACTTATAGTGAAAACTACCCTTGGATGATGGTAAGGTAGACTAAAAGCTTTACGAATCCAGTACCCTGTATCAAGATTGATGTAAAACAAGTGACATTTGACCTTTTTAGAGAGGTTCAGCAAAAAAAACTCCACCTCTGAGGTGATTTGGGTGGAAATGGGGGGTTTTACCGTTTCTCTGGAACCCATTGGTCATTGACATCTCTTTCTGACCGTTAGAGCAAATAGAATCGAAGGGGGGTTTTCACATAGACTCCAACGTTAACACAAAAAGGTGGGGGCTTTGCGCATGTAGTTTTGCATGAGTGAAGCTATCTCTCGCTCTGACATCTAGAAATGGAAAAGCAGTCTTTTTGCTCATGGATTATCAGAAATCATTTCAAAGGGACACAGACACATTGGATTAACCTATGGATTAACTTCAGCCGCGTTTTTATCGTTTTAATGCCATTGAAGACCACTTTTGAGCAGACTACGACACAAGGTAACCATGTTAGCATTTTTAGCTACCTAGCGCCACATGTTTTGATGTCGGTTTTTGTTTATAAAGTCGCGATTTCGTATAACTGAGTGATAATGAGGCTACCCTTCGATTCTGTGTCACCTCACGATGTGAAACGATGTCATGGATGTGCAGAAAAGATAAATAATAAGGTTTTGTGAGTGAATTTCGGTGCAGTAATCTGTTAGCATTTTTCGCTCGTTGCTAATTCAGAGGCTCGGCGTTAGCATTGTGGGTTTTATTTTGAAAAATAAATAAAAATGATCAGTTAGATGAGTTTCTTCCCGTTACATGGATATAAAACATTCATAGATTATTAAATGAACATGCCCTCAGACACTGTTTCCTGCAAGATGTTGTGGCAGTGCCCCGGTACCGGGGTCTCTCGGGCTTAACAGGTTAAAGGGGACCTATCATGCAAAATGCACTTTTGTACGTCTTTTATACATGAATATGTGTCCCAGGTGTGTCAGGGAACTTACCAAGTGTCAGAAAACACAACCCAAAAAGGGGTGCTCCGCCTATATGGGCAACTCTCCACCTATCAGGGGAATGAGAGACCGCTCATGTAGTACATATGCCAGGCCTGTAAGTGGCGCTGTAGTCTGCCACAAAAGCAGAACCAGCCCTTGCAAAAACAGGGCTGGAAAAGAGGAAATAGAGCGAAATGAGGCATGGCTAAAATGCATGATCTGTTTGGTATTTTGAAAAAAAAACTTAACAGACATGTTTTATATAGGTATGGCCCTACAATATATGTTTGAAATATAGCATGATAGGTCCACTTTAAGTCAAATTACTTATACCACATTGTAAACATTTGAAAAAAAAAATTCGGCATTGAAAAAGTTACTGAAGTAAAACTATGAAAGTGTAATAGGGAAAACATAATTAAAGTGGACCTATCATGCTATATTTGAAACATATATTGTAGGGCCATACCTATATAAAACATGTCTGTGAAGTTTTTTTTTCAAAATACCAAACAGATCATGCATTTTAGCCATGCCTCATTTCGCTCTATTTGCTCTTTTCCAGCCCTGTTTTTGCAAGGGCTGATTCTGCTTTTGTGGCAGACTACAGCGCCACTTACAGGCCTGGCATATGTACTACAGCGTCTCCAGCGCTTTCGAGCAGTCTCTCATTCCCCTGATAGGTGGAGAGTTGCCCATATAGAGCACCCCTTTTCTGACGTCAGAAAAATTCAAATAATAATCCCCGTTTTTAGAGATTTGGGTATGGAGGAAAAGAGAGAGGGTTGTGTTTTCTGACACTTTGTGAGTTCCCTGACACACCGGGGACACATATTCATGTATAAAAGACGTACAAAAGTGCATTTTGCATGATAGGTCCCCTTTAAGTATTAAGTGTTAAAGTACTCACTAAAGAAAAAGGTCCCCTGTCAATCATGTAAATGTAAGAAAAAAAAGACCTGGATTTACAAAATACGATAAGGCCGGTTTATTTGTATTATTTCATTCATACTTTATGCAAAACATGAAGTTTGGAATTTTAAGTAAATGTATGGACAAACTTAATAATAAAAAGATATATCAAAAAGTGTATTATTTCCTCAATGTTCCTGTTTTGTTATTGCAGTTCTGTATACATTTCTTGCAATCATCTTAATTTGTAGCGTAAATAATGCTGTCAGACAAAAGAGTGTAGTAAAAATACAATAATTCTCTCTGAAACGTAATAAGTGACAAGTAGAAAGTACAGTATCTACAAATTGTATTTAAGTACAGTACTGTTCTGAGTTACATTCCACCTCTGAGTATCAGATCAATTGAGCTCACCCCCTCCAGGCGTTTAATGTTGACCACATCCCGAGACAGGAAGCAGAGAGCTTTCACCTCGGAGGACTCCAGCTGCTCATCGATGTGAGAAAGCGTCAGTCTATCCATCCTGAGCCACCAGCTGCAGGCCTGCTGCTCAGCTCACTGCACTGCTAGTAAAGACACAGACACAGGAGGGGGTTAAAAGTAAATTGGGCATTTGTAAGAAGAAACGAGGAAAATAATAAATAACATGAGCATGAAATAATGGCCAATTACAAGCTTTATACTAAATGTGGCTGTAATTATAGAGATTCTTATTTTTTACACCATTAACATATCAGGAAGTACAGTAAGATCATTGTAGACATGGTGTACGAGTGTTCAACACTTATAAAGCCTTTAAATGTTTACTTGTACGCAGTAACAAGTCCCACATCCTGGGAGTTTCCCTTTCATCGAGGGTCTGCTACATACCTGCCATGGCCCAGCCCAACATTTCTTCTTAAAATAGTTCTCTATCTGTGTTTTTAATTTTTGTTTTACTTTTATGTACGCACCATGACATCAAGTCAAATTCCTCGTACGTGTCAACCTACCTGGCAATAAACCTGTTTCTGATTCTGATTCAAAAAAGGAATTATTTAATATATTTATATGGAATCAAGAAATAACTCCGGTGTAAATAGCAGATCTAACTCAACAAAAGGTGTACCCTATGTCTAGAAGACAGTTGTTGATTGATAGTAAGTCTAATGGATTGTATCGGATTATACTTATTTTTTCCCCCGTGTAGCACACATTATTCAGAGGGCTATCACAACAGCTTTGTCGATGGTTTAGCTTAGTGTCGGAAAATTATGAGCAGGGGTGAGCAGTCAACTTCCTCAGGCAGGTACTTTAAACAATAACAAATATATTTTAATGTGTATTTGTGTGATATATATTGGTTCATTAATAATAATACCCCTTTTCATCACTTTATTTTGTTCATGATTTTTTTTTTTTTTTTTTTTTTTTTTTTTTTTTTTTTAAATTGTACTGTTTATGTTGTTATAAGAATATCCAAACAACAGTCTTGCCATATGAATTGATTTATTTTTCTCTGGTTTTGCAGTTTGATTTTCTTTTCCAATAGTATACTTATTTTTATAATGAAAAAAGTGATGCAGAACAAGTGGAGACGAGTCCCGGAATTAGAACGATTTTGATCAGAAAGTTAAAATCAGTAAACTCATAAAAGAAAAAATAAGATACATCTTGTGACAGACTTACACAAATACATGTATGAATACATTGTAGCTACTAACATGTATTTATTTGTTACAATTGTATGACTCAAAATAGCTGACAACCTAAATGTAAAACAAATTTAAAAGATAAGGGTGGAAATAAGAAATGTAGCGTTGTAAAAAACAGAATTCCCCTAACAGGACCTTAGCTGCTAAAACCATAAAACTCACGGTGTATGGCGCAGTGACGTCACGGAAAACACCAACCCTTTTCTTTTTTTACTTAAACAAAATAATAAATAAATAAAATAAGTACATTTTGACTTAGTCCTTGATAGCACCACAACTGTAACATAAAGTCAAACCAGTGTAACTTTGACATAATGTTACAGTCAAAGCTTGTTTACCGTTTACATCACGACGCTGAAGTTGGCTTCCGATTCAGAGCTTCCGATTCGGCAGTTAAGGGGAAAGTTAAGGGAAATTTAATTTACAGCGCTGAGCAAACAATCCTCCGTGTTTGAACCTCTTAAATAGCTGCATAGCCGATTTATTTGGACTGGATTATCCCAGAGTCTAAAGATTCTTTATAACACAGTTTGAGATTTGTGAAACCTTAATTCTATTTGTGAAAATCCAAAAAAGGGAGATTTCAGTGCTTTTTTCGCATCGAGACCACATAAGACCAGGTCCTGACTAAAAATTAAAAAAAATGTGTGACCAGTTGGACTCATTAAGGCCATTGTTTCCCTTCATAAGTGCAACTACGGAAGTGGATTGGAGTCTTTCAGAGCCTGTCACAGTTTCAGATCATACCAGTGTAAAGCTATATGTACATTAGTAATCATAGTTTTTCTATGTCAAAAAAAGTATAAACAGCATGCAACAATATCAAAACTTGCTCACTTTATATTTGTGTTGCAAAGGTCATACCACAGTCTGATAAGCATAACTTGTTTAAGAATTCAAAATGCAGCCCCCACTTCAATCCATAAAGCATTCCAAATATATATATATCATGTGCAGTGCTCATTAGTAGCCGTCATCCCATGTAGTTTAAATATACTGGGGCAAGGCAGCGTTACACTGGTGAGTACATGTGAAAGGATTTCAGGAGCCTTTTGCTTCATTTACATAATTTTAGTGGTTTGAGTAAGAGTACTTTTTAGAAATTCTAACAATGTATTTTTTTAAATGTATGAAACTAAAAAAAGTCTCCATACCTGTTAAATAACAAACTAACTTTCTACAAATAAATTCAAGATGTTTTTTAAGATAGACTACATACATGTTCTGAAGCCACTGTGGCCTCAGGATGCTTCCGACACAACATCATAGCTTTAGCCAACGAGCTGCTGGGTCAGGTGAGGCTGCAGCAGCTCTGTGCCCTGATGTGAGCTACATAATCTGTCTTTTGGAGTATGTGGTGTTCTAAGGCTCTGTGCCTGTTAGCATGTTAGCCTAGCTCCTGCTGGGTGACAGACACTGCAGTTTGTGATGGACTCTTACCGCTGATGCACTGGCAGAAAGAAGATAATTGCGAGGCCTGGTCTCCTGAAAAGCAGGTACAGCCTACAAACAAGAGCAGGGAGGAGGAGACGCATGTTGGCACAGTCATGCATTACAATCATAAAGCAGAACAATAAAAACAGTTAGCCAAAAGCAAAGCTGGATCATTTATTAATTGCTGTTAAAGCATAAACAGTTAGAATGCTTTAGTAAGTTTTGCTTTAACTTTAATAAAATGATCCTGTGAGGATAATACGTTAATTTGAAGCAGACTCAGTGTCAGGGTTGGGGGAAAATAGGACCCAAATGCAGTAAAAGGACTAAAAGGTCAGGTAACAAAAAGCGAGCTTTATTTCCCAAAGCTGAATGACAAAAGAAAACAAGGAACAACTTAACATACCAAAACCGGGGGAGTACAAGGAAGGATCAAGACAAAAAACCTCAGGAACAAACATGGAGCGTGACAGGTAGCATGGACAAGAGCAACAGGTATCGACGAGACACGACGACAAACAGACATGGAGCACAGGGGGAAGACAAGATTCCAGTCCAGATTTGATGAGTCTAGGTACAGTATAGTGGTTTTAGATCAGGACCTGGTCTTCTGTGGTCTAGATGCAAAAAAATCACTGAAATCTCCCTTTTTTGTATTTTCACAAATAGAATTAAGGTTTCACAAATCTCAAACTGTGTTATAAAGAATGTTTAGACCCTCTGGGATAATCCAGTCCAAATAAATCGGCTATGCAGCGATTTAAGAGGTTCAAACACGGAGGATTGTTTGCTCAGCGCTGTAAATTAAATTTCCGAATCGGAAGCTCTGAATCGGAAGCTAACTTCAGCGTCGTGTTTAACATCTACACATATATATATATATATATATATACATACATACATACATACATACATACATACATACATACATGCATACATACATACATACATACATACATACATACATACATACATACATACATACATACATACATACATATATATATATATAATAGCTAACATTGGAGTACAGGCTGTGTACATTAGCAAAACACATTAGACAACTTGTGACGTTAACACTTACCACTGTCAGTCTACGTCCTCGAAGCAAAAAATGACTGTAGGGTATTTTAGCTCTGAGCTCAGGATTAGCTGAAAAGAGTTGTGGATGTTCTTTGTTCAAAGTCCATGAGAAAGTAAAAAAAGGAGTGACATCTCAGGAAGTTTTAAAAGAATATTTAATAAAGTAACGTTGTAGTGGATCTGGCAACAACTTATCACAGCTGTGAGGGGAAGAAAGAGACCGGGGTTGCGTTCGAATACTCCAAAAAAACAGCTCCTAAGTTCTAACCCTATCGTCTATTCCTTGACCTCGGAGTGAAACGTCATGGGGTTAAGGGATAGTGGATAGGAGAATTCAAAAGGATTTAGGAGAAGACACTGCGGCACTTTAGAGAATCCGACTGCACTTTCACTATCCGACGTGTTTATGATGCGCCAGCGGAGGTCATAAATGTGCGCCTGCTGCTGTGGGGAAACTATGGAAACTACAGTTTTCTATACAGCGGACTACAACATGGATGTTTAATAAGAACGAGGGACTACTGTAAACTCATCTAGAGACTCTGCACCTGCTCTGATGCTGTTGTTTTATGCTTTATGAACAGGGACAACAGAGAAACATATTCTTCATGACCAAAGTTGGAATTGAAATAAAAAAGGAAAGTGAAACTTATGCTCGTCACCCTCTCCCTCCGGTCCACATTAATACAAATGATCCCAATACGTATGATTGTATGAAAAGATCTTAAAATCAATACAAATGTATTTATTATAAACGTTAGTCCTTAACATCTATCACTGTGTATATCACCATTCAAACATCTTTTAAAAGTTGAACAAACCCCACACAGCTCAGTAAAGACTGTGAAATGTTGACTTTATTTGATCATTTCAGTAAAAACTAACGTTCATATTTCTCTTTTTGATTATAATACTGATGAACGTTCAAAACAAAGCACTTTGGCAACTTACCACATACGTTTTAAATTGCTTAATAAGCACCGTAACTTTATACCGATATCATTTCTCGTTCATAATCGGTTGTTTCCGTGAACGGCCGACTGTTGTGTGACGGCAAATGCTGCGGCCGCAAGGCATTGTGGGGCAGCATTTTCTCCTCTCCTTTCGGTTAGGGAGGTCCAGTGGTTCCTAGGCTAAAGGAGGTTATAAAGGAAGTTTGAAACCTCCTTTCCTTTTAATTTAGAGAATTCGAACGGCACTTATCATGGCTGCCACTCAGGGACTTCCGGGTCATTTCACTCCGTTAGGAAGGTTCCTAAGCTAAATGGACTATTCGAATGCAACCCGGATTTCTCTGTGCATTTGAATCAAGCAGCAAACTCTGGGGAAGAACAGGTGTTATGCCGTAGATTGAAGTCCTGTTCGCGGGGACGAGCAAAGTGACGTCATCGCCTGTATTGAGCGTTCGCCTAGTTTTCTAAGCGGAAAAACGAAAGATACTATTTACTTTCTCTCTTTTGAATGATATATTTCCCATCAGATTAAACAACAAACGGCTGAATAAATAATGTGCATACAATTGCGTGGAGGCTCGTTTTAAGGACACTTTTCAGATCTGTCACAATCTTCGTATTGGAACAAACTTCCGTTTTTGAGTCCACTCTGTTCTGTTCCTCCTTCCTACAGAACAGACAATGACAGGATAATATGTCATTTGTCAGTATAGTCCTATTTTTTAAAACCTTCTCTGTTGTTTAAGTGTCTGATAACCACGAATAGTAAGCAATGATATAACAGTAATTATATAACATATATCAGACACTGTGTTATTTTCAATCAAGCCTAAAAGATTATAATGTGTTCAAACTGGCTTCACTCGCTTTAATTGCTCCTTTGAATGTAATGTTCCTCTGTGGTTTCCTACTCAACACATGTTTGTATTGTAATGCCACTCATATTTTATTTTTTATTGTATTTTAAGGTGACATTGAATGCTTTGAAAGGTGCCCTAAAATAAAGTGTATTATTGATCTTATATCTGTGCCTATATCACACTATTAATGTTCCTTATTTTAGACTAGGTTAATCCTGGTGTCAATAGGGAAGATCTGCACTGTTCTCTACATAACATGTTCAGCAGAGCAGGTATTTCTCCTGCCAGATTTGGAACCCCCCCTATCATTTTGTCCAGGATGGTCATAGACTCACCAAAATCACACTGGTGTTTGCTGTTCCCCTCTAGTTTGTGCTCGCAAAAGCATTTTACTCTGGGCCCAGCAGGTGAAAAACTAAAGAGGGGCTTCCAAATCCGGCAGACCAGGTGCTGCCAGATATGGCACCCCCACTACAACTTTGTCCAGGACAGTCACACTGTCACCAAAAGCACACTGGTGTTTGCTGTTCCCCTCTAGTTTGTGCTCACAAAAGAATTTTACTCTGGGCCCATTAGGTAAAAAACTAAAGAGGGGCTTCCATATCCGGCAGACCAGGTGTTGTAGCTGCCGGATTTGGAAGCCCCCCTATATCTTTGTCCAGGATAGTCACAACTTCACCAAAATCACACTGGTGTTGCCTGTTCCCCTCTAGTTTATGCTCACCAAAGCATTTTACTCTGGGCCCAGCAGGTACAAAACTAAAGAGGGGCTTCCATATCCGGCAGAGAAGGTGTTGTGGCTGGCTGCCAGATATGGAAGCCCCCCTATAATTTTTCACCTGCTGGGCCCAGAGTAACATGCTTTTGTGAGCACAAAGTAGAGGGGAACAGCAAACACCAGTGTGATTTTGGTGAGTCTATGACTATCCTGGACAAAGGTATAGGGGGGCTTCCAAATCCGGCAGCTACAACACCTGGTCTGCCGGATTTGGAAGCCCCTCTTTAGTTTTTCACCTGCTGGGCCCAGAGTAAAATGCTTTTGCGAGCACAAACTAGAGGGGAACAGCAAACACCAGTGTGATTTTGGTGAGTCTATGACCATCCTGGACAAAATGATAGGGGGGGTTCCAAATCTGGCAGGAGAAATACCTGCTCTGCTGAACATGTTATGTAGAGAACAGTGCAGATCTTCCCTATTGACACCAGGATTAACCTAGTCTAAAATAAGGAACATTAATAGTGTGATATAGGCACAGATATAAGATCAATAATACACTTTATTTTAGGGCACCTTTCAAAGCATTCAATGTCACCTTAAAATACAATAAAAAATAAAATATGAGTGGCATTACAATACAAACATGTGTTGAGTAGGAAACCACAGAGGAACATTACATTCAAAGGAGCAATTATAGCGAGTGAAGCCAGTTTGAACACATTATAATCTTTTAGGCTTGATTGAAAATAACACAGTGTCTGATATATGTTATATAATTACTGTTATATCATTGCTTACTATTCGTGGTTATCAGACACTTAAACAACAGAGAAGGTTTTAAAAAATAGGACTATACTGACAAATGACATATTATCCTGTCATTGTCTGTTCTGTAGGAAGGAGGAACATAACAGAGTGGACTCAAAAACGGAAGTTTGTTCCAATTTGTTCCTTAAAACGAGCCTCCACGCAATTGTATGCACATTATTTATTCAGCCGTTTGCTGTTTAATCTGATGGGAAATATATCATTCAAAAGAGAGAAAGTAAATAGTATCTTTCGTTTTTCCGCTTAGAAAACTAGGCGAACGCTCAATACAGGCGATGACGTCACCTTTGCTCGTCCCCGCGAACAGGGCTTCAATCTACGGCATAAAAACACCGGGGTTGCATTCGAATAGTCCATTTAGCTTAGGAACCTTCCTAACGGAGTGAAATGACCCGGAAGTCCCTCAGTGGCAGCCATGATAAGTGCCGTTCGAATTCTCTAAATTAAAAGGAAAGGAGGTTTCAAACTTCCTTTATAACCTCCTTTAGCCTAGGAACCACTGGACCTCCCTAACCGAAAGGAGAGGAGAAAATGCTGCCCCACAATGCCTTGCAGCCGCAGCATTTGCCGTCACACAACAGTCGGCCGTTCACGGAAACAACCGATTATGAACGATAAATGATATCATGAAAGTTACGGTGCTTATTAAGCATTTTAAAACGTATGTGGTAAGTTGCCAAAGTGCTTTGTTTTGAACGTTCATCAGTATTATAATCAAAAAGAGAAATATGAACGTTAGTTTTTACTGAAATGATCAAATAAAGTCAACATTTCACAGTCTTTACTGAGCTGTGTGGGGTTTGTTCAACTTTTAAAAGATGTTTGAATGGTGATATACACAGTGATAGATGTTAAGGACTAACGTTTATAATAAATACATTTGTATTGATTTTAAGATCTTTTCATACAATCATATGTATTGGGATCATTTGTATTAATGTGGACCGGAGGGAGAGGGTGACGAGCATAAGTTTCACTTTCCTTTTTTATTTCAATTTCAACTTTGGTCATGAAGAATATGTTTCTCTGTTGTCCCCGTTCATAAAGCATAAAACAACAGCATCAGAGCACGGTGCAGAGTCTCTAGATGAGTTTACAGTAGTCCCTCGTTCTTATTAAACATCCATGTTGTAGTCCGCTGTATAGAAAACTGTAGTTTCCATAGTTTCCCCACAGCAGCAGGCGCACATTTATGACCTCTGCTGGCGCATCATAAACACGTCGGATAGTGAAAGTGCAGTCGGATTCTCTAAAGTGCCGCAGTCTCTTCTCCTAAATCCTTTTGAATTATCCTATCCACTATCCCTTAACCCCATGACGTTTCACTCCGAGGTCAAGGAATAGACGATAGGGTTAGAATTTAGGAGCTGTTTTTTTGGAGTATTCGAACGCAACCCGGGACGCCAATACGGAAGTGCCACAAACTGCAGTTCATATATTGGCCGATAGGCGATGACTGCAGAAAGGAGCCATTTCCATAGACCCCCATGTTAAAATGCCCAATTTTACAGCAGAAAAAAACATGTTTCTACCCCTGGATGCAATACATATTATTATTGATATAGTTAGATTCCACCTTCATGATTATGAATCTGTGAGTGAATTGTTTTCTAACATGACCCTTTTATTTATATTAGGTCTTAAAGTTTTTGCATTAGGGCGTGGTCACATTGAGTGACAGCTCTGTCAAGTGACTGCTGCTGTTAGCTTCTTGTCTCTCTGCTAGGTGCTCCGTCTCCGTGAAGCTACAGGCTATATAAACCAGTGGATTTGTGAAAACGTTGTGGGTTTGTGAGTAGAGAGAGGTTAGAGACAGAGAGAGATTAGAGACAGCGAGAGAAAACAGTTAGTCAGAAATTAGATAGAAAAAGATCAGAACGTGCGTGAGTGAGTACTGAATGTGATAGAGTGTTGGTCCTTGTGAGTGAAATAGTATTGTGTGTTTAATTAAGTGAGTGATTGTTGTTTGCCTGTGTGTGTGTTTGAGGGAGAGCTTAGTACTAGGGCTACATAGGAGTGAGTGGATCCAACAAAAATGGAGGCAAGACTTGTGAAAGAGGTGATGGATTTCAAACTCCAGAACGTTTTTCCTGAAGGTTTATCAAGCCATCAGAGGTTTGTGATCAAGAGAAGAGCTGAGACCTTCAGGATTAAAGGTAAGAGTGTGTGGCCTTCAGAATATTGTGTGCTATGATAACACTCAATGAATATATAACTATGACATTTCAATACCAGATGGAGAACTGCATTACATATGCAGAAGAAAAAAGGCCTCAGAAGAAGCTGACAAGCTGTTTAAAGAGTTTCACTGCAGCCAACTGGGAGGACATTTTGCTGTAGAGAAAACACACGGTGCCATCATCAAACGGTTTTATTGGCCTGGCATGGTGGAAGACATCCGCAAGTGGGTGAGTTATAAAATAATGAAATAACAGAGAGACCACAAGCTGTACGGGTCAACAATAACACCTCAGACACCCTCATACTGAGCACGGGGGCCCCCCAAGGATGTGTGCTCAGCCCCCTTCTCTTCACTCTGCTGACCCACGACTGCAAACCCACCTTCAGCACCAACCACATCGTGAAGTTTGCAGACGACACTGCAAACAACGCTGATGGGTCTCATCAGCAACAACGATGAGACTAACTACAGAAAGGAAGTGAACCAGCTGGCCCTGTGGTGCCAAAACAACAACCTCTTCCTCAACCTGGAGAAAACAAAGGAGATAGTTGTTGACTTCAGGAGAACCCACCGTCGACCCCCACTCCCCCTGACCATCAACGGCGCTGCTGTGACGCAGGTGACCAGCACCAAATTCCTTGGTGTGACCATCACTGAGGACCTCACCTGGAAAAACAACACCACCGCACTAGCGAAGAAAGCCCAGCAGCGCCTGTACTTCATCCGGAAGCTCAAGCGAGCCGGAGCGTCACCCCCCATAATGCTGTCCTTCTACCGAGGCGCCACCGAGAGCATCCTCAGCAGCTGTATCACGCTGTGGTTCGGAAGCTGCACCGCCGCCGACCGCAAGAGCCTGCAGCGCATAGTGAACTCTGCCGAGAGGATCATCGGTGCCTCACTCCCCTCACTACAGGACATATACAACACCCGCCTCACCCGCAAAGCACTCAGCATTGTGGGTGACTCCACCCACCCCTCCAACAGCCTCTTCAGCCTACTGCCTTCAGGAAGAAGGTTCCTCAGCCTCAGCTCGCGCACCTCCAGGCTGGGCAACAGCTTCCTCCACCAGGCGGTCAGGATGCTGAACTCTCTCCCCTCCCTCCCTCTCTCCCCCTCTCTGACATCTCTCCCCTGAACTCTCCACCCTGCCTCCGACCTTTCTCCCCTGACCCAAATGGTCCTGGACTCTAACCCCCTTAACTCAACTCACTTTTCTGCCCATCTCCGCTGCTACTGCACTGAAACTGTACTTTGAACACTTAAATTATATTATTAACATTTTAAACTGTATACCCCGGTTATCTAGGCCCTTTGTTTTGTTTAATGTATACCATGTTTATCTAGGCCTTTTTTGTTTGATGTATATATGTCACACTGTAGGACTGCGGGAAACGATATTTAGATATTTCTGGATGTACAACATGTAGAATTATTGACAATAAAGCTGACTTTGACTTTGACTTTGAGGTCAATTATACATTATGGTACAAAAGTGGAGCACAGAAAAGTGTATGGTGTGTTTTTTTGTCTTTTCCAGATTGCTGAGTGTCCCCAGTGCCAATCAAAGAGGGCAAGGATCAAAGAAAAGAGGGAGTACACTCCTATTGAGGTACAAGGAAACAATTCCAGCCAGTTTGAGCTTTGGAACATGTGAACTGTGGTTTACTGAAATGCACATTTTCTTTTTTTCTTCTCAGGTAACAGAGCCTCTGGAGCTCATTGGGATGGACCTAGTGGGTAAACTCACAGTAACAGATGGTGGCAATCAATACATTTGTGTCATGGTTGATTATTTCACCAAATGGGCAGAGGCATACCCACTTAAAAGCAAAACAGCAGATGAGGTGACCAATTGTATTCTTGATTTCTTTTACAAATTTGGTGCACCTAAAAGACTGCTAACAGATCAAGGCGGGGAGTTCTGTAATAAGGTATACCCTTGAAGCATCATGACTCCCTATTATGTAACATGTCTGTGCTAAGTTTTTAGTGTGAATGCAAAATTCATAAAAATTCACCAACACATTTTGCAGTTTACAGCATTCATAGGCATTTTCAGCAGGAGATGCATTTTATTGTTTCATTTTTGTCCCAATGTTTCCTTCAAGGTGAACTATAACCTTTGTGAGAGGCTGGAAATCGAAAGAAGCCTGTGTTCCCCATATCACCCACAGACAAATGGGCTTGTGGAAAAATTAAATGGAACAATACAGAGGTATGTTAATTAATATAAATAACATTATATTTCCTACATTAACAGTAATCACAAATTATACCTAAATAAAACAACAAGAGTAAATAAATGGGTTGCTTTATCATATATTCGAAACCATTTTGTCTTCTACCTTCTTGTACTTCTTGTACTTTACCTGAATTTAGGTCCCTGAACAAACTGGTGACGGGTGAGCCCAAGCGTTGGGACCAATTCCTGCAGTCCACCATGTTCAGTCTGAGAACCAAAACTCAGCTGACTACAAAGTTCAGTCCATATTTTCTCATGTTTGGGAGGGAGGCGAGGTACCCATCAGAGGTGCCCAAGGAGTACAAAGTAAGATCCGGTTATTCTCTCATCCTGTAGCATGATTTTTATTTCAAACATGTATGTTCTCTACATTCTAACCGTTTTCTGTGGCAGATAACAGAAGACAAAGTCAATAGGATGGTGGAAAGGGAAGATGTCTCGGAGGGACTTCAAAAACAGGAGGCCGTTTTCACGCTTGTCAAGAAAAACATGAAAAAAAGCCAAGAGAGGGTCCGCAAGAGGAAACTGGAGAAAGGGCAAGCGGACAACTTCCAAGTGGGGGACTTGGTTTTAAAAAAAAAAAAAAAAGGTTGGAGCAAAGAAAAGGTGGAAAACTAGACGTGGAAATGCAGGGACCTTACCGGGTTGTGGACATTGAGGGGAAAGTTGCTGAAATAGTTTCAGAAAAGGGAAAGAATAAGATGAAAGTCAACATTGACCACCTCACACACTATGTCCAGCCAGAGGAGAGGATCCCTGCTAAATTGAAAAAATTGTTGGATCCTTCTCCTCTGGCTGGTCCACTCACCTCCACCTCCACCTCCACACCCACACCCACACCCATACCCACACCCACACCCACCTCCACCTCCACCTCCACCTCCACACCCACACCCATACCCATACCCACACCCACACCCACCTCCACCTCCACCTCCACACCCTCGACATCCTCCCAAACCCTGGCTCCATCAAGTAAGGCAGAAGGAGCATCTTCTGAGGTGGAGACTTGTAAGTAAACTGACACAAAGTACACCTCAAAGTATGCATTTCCTTAATAACTAACATGCCTTATCTTTTTTTTTTACAGTCATCCGAGACATATGGGCAGGGAGGAGGAAGGAGACGCTGTGGGCCAAGTATGGCCCATACAAGGTTTACAGCGAGAACCTCATGGTCTTGGCCCCAGGACAGCAGTTGGAGGGAGAGGTAAGCCTTATAAGACAAAAGTACATATGCAAACTGGTAATTCTTTATCAAATGGGATAAAAACATCTGTTGTATTTATAGATTGTCAATGCCTATTTGTCATGGGTGGGTGCAAAAGCTGGGGCTTTCATTTTGGACTCGTACCTCATGACTTCCCTCTGGCAGGGAACACACAAAGGCGGTTTAAGAAAGGTGAGTAGAGTAGGACTAGAAATAAGTGTATATATGTACATATGTATGTACTTATGTACTTAAGTGTGTACAAATATTTTTCAGTTGGACCTGACAAAACACCATGTGGCAGCTGGAGCCGTCTGTTCCGGGGCACACTGGCTACTCATTGTAAGTAATCTAAAATGTTAATGGGTCAAGATATTTCTTTTTATTCAACACTTGACACTTTGTTTAATTTGTTGCACTTCCATAGATCATGTATCTGAGGGAAAACGGGTCCCTTTTCTTGGACCCATTTGGGGCCACCAAAGAACAGATAAGCCGCTGCAAAGACCTGACACTGTAAATCAAATATCAGCTGTAATGTCTTTACTAGATATATTCATGCATTCAGGATGTGGGATTATATTAAGGGAGCAACACAAAGCCACATAAATAATGTTCCTGATTACTGCTGTTTAACTTGAATAACATAAGATTGTCCTGTGTGAACATTCAGCTGTTCTTGACTTAAAAAGGATTGTATGTCCAAAACATTATCTGTGTTCCCTGTGTAGATCGCTGGTCCGCAAGACAAACCCAGCTGTTGGGAGATGGGCATGCAACAGCATGGATCATCCGAAACAGCAGGACACAACATCATGCGGTGTATTCATTTGCAAGGTAACATTTATGAATGTGTATATATAACCATCTGTCATTAAACAATAATACGAAGATACTTATCTCAGACTTTGTTAGCTTGCAGAGCAAATACTATTGGACCAGAAGGTCCAGTACCCTGTTGACCAGGCGGGTGTGGCCTCAATGAGGTTCGACATGGCAATGTCCCTGGTGAACAATTCCGGTATACAGGACTAAACCAGAGAAACCGAAATATCCTGTATTTTTTGGCATTTCACTACATTTATGCCGGAATTTGTTTTTTACAGATGACCTATCCCAGCTGTGTCGGGCCTGTGGGGAACTTAGTTCAGGGTTGACCAAGGGTGACCAATGGGTAAGACGTTGTATTAATTTCCTGACCAACATTTGGCTGGAAGACTGGGATACACCCTGGATAGGTTACCTCAACATCACCGGGTGAACACTATAACAGATATTGAACATTTTTACTTTAATTCACCAAACTTGCATGTCTTTGCACTATGGGAGAACACTGGTGCAGTGGAAGGAACTTGTGAGCACGGAATCTACACAGAAAGGACCACAGATAAGATCCCAACCTATACATTGCTTGTTTAGTTAAATGTTAACAGCGTGATTGTAAAGCGTACTCTGGATGAGTGATGTTAACCTAAAAAACGTTTGTCCATATTCTAACATGTATTATTTCTGTTTCTTTTCAGATTGAGTGCACCGGCTGTACCAAATGGTACCACACAACATGTGTTGGGCAGCCCTCTATCTCACTGGACTATTACTGCAAAGCCTGCACTTTATAAACACACACACACACACATACGCACAAACACACAAATTCCTTGTTTATGTGGTCCAGGCTGTTGTCATCGCACACTTAAAAGAGGTAACCACAAAGCGATATTTAACTGAAAATACTAGGGAAATGTTTACTCAGAATTTCTCATCCACACTTGCCCCTGCTAACATCTCAGTAAATGAGCTAGTAGATCATTTTAATTCAAAATTAAAAATGTTATAGATACCATTGCTCCAACTAAGGTAAAGGAAGTGATTAGCAAGAAAATATCTCCATGGAGAAAGGCCATGACCGTGAGAACAGAAAAAAGAGAGTGTCGAAAAGCTGAACGTAGGTGGCGAAAAACAAATCTCCAGGTTCACTTTGAAATCTATAAAGAGAGACTTGGCCTTTATAATTTGGAATTGAAAAACGCACGACAGTCTTTCTTCTCTGACATCATTACCAAAAACAAAAACAACGCACGTGCCTTGTTTGCTACCGTCGACAGACTAACTAACCCCCCAGTGTCAGTAGCCTCTGAATTTCTATCCACCAGGGCGTGCAATGATTTTGCCTCCTTCTTCACTGACAAAATTCAGAAAATTAGACAAGCAGTCAGTGCCTCTACATCAGGTACAGCAAATGTTTTGTCCCTATGTCCACCTAATATCAATTCAAACACCATGACACAATTCCATCAGATTAATGGTAAAAACTTAGAGGACATTATTCAACTTCTGAAATCCTCCTCCTGCTGCCTTGATATTATTCCAACAGGATTTTTCAAAGATGTTTTTCCTTGCATGGCCTCAGATCTACTTCATATAGTAAACACATCTCTTCACTCAGGTATTTTTCCAGAGGCCCTGAAAACTGCAGTCATTAAACCGCTCTTAAAAAAGAATAATCTAGATGCCTCAGTAATGAACAATTACAGGCCAATATCAAACCTGCCATTTCTAGGTAAAATCATTGAAAAAGTAGTATTTCAACAGTTGAGTAACTTCTTGCATTTAAATAACTGTTTGGATGTGTTCCAGTCAGGATTTCGTCCAAACCACAGCACTGAGACTGCTCTTGTAAAGGTCTTCAATGACATCCACTTAAACACAGACAGTGGCAGAACTTCAGTGTTAGTATTATTAGATCTCAGTGCTGCATTTGACACTGTTGACCACAACATATTACTAGACCGACTAGAAAACTGGGTGGGACTTTCGGCAACAGTTCTAAATTGGTTTGAGTCCTACTTAAAGGACAGAAAAAACTTTATTTCTATAGGTAAATACACATCTGAGTTGACAAATATGACATGTGGGGTACCTCAAGGCTCCATCTTGGGGCCTCTTCTCTTTAACATCTACATGCTACCACTGGCTCAGATAATGAAAAACAACAAAATAAGTTACCATAGCTATGCGGATGACACACAAATTTACGTAACAATTTCACCAGGAGATTATGCTCCAATTCAAACACTGAGTAAGTGCATTGAACAAATCAATGACTGGATGTGTCAGAACTTTCTCCAATTAAACAAAGATAAAACTGAGGTAATGGTTTTTGGAGCCAAGGCAGAACGTATAAAAGTTAGCGCTGAGCTTCAGTCTGCAATGTTCAAAACAACAGATAAAGCCAGAAATCTAGGTGTAGTCATGGACTCTGACCTGAGTTTCAACAGTCACATTAAAACAGTTACTAAATCAGCCTACTATCACCTAAAGAACATATCTAGGATTAAAGGACTAATGTCACAGCAGGATTTGGAAAAACTTGTCCATGCTTTTATCTTCAGTAGACTCGACTACTGCAATGGTGTCTTTACAGGCCTCACTAAAAAATCTATTAGAAAGCTGCAGCTAATTCAGAACGCCGCTGCTCGAGTCCTCACTAACACTAAGAAAGTGGATCACATCACTCCTGTTCTGAAGTCTTTACACTGGCTTCCTGTGTGTCAAAGAATAGATTTCAAAATATTGTTGCTGGTTTATAAAGCTTTGAATGGTTTAGGCCCAAAATACATGTCTGACCTACTGCTAAATTATGAACCATCCAGAACCCTCAGGTCTTCAGGGACTGGTCAGCTTTCTGTCCCCAGAGTCAGAACTAAACATGGTAAAGCAGCATTCAGTTATTATGCTCCGAATATCTGGAACAAACTCCCAGAAACCTGCAGGTCCGCTGCAACTCTTACTAGTTTTAAATCCAGGCTGAAGACTTTTCTTTTTGCCGCTGCTTTTAATTGAACTATTCACATCTTAAACTGCACTGTAACTTTTAACTTTTATTCATGTATTTTTTCTTTTAATGTTTATTTTATTATCTTTCCTTTTTAATGACTGATTTTAAATGCCATTTTTAAAATGTCTTCCATTTTTGTAAAGCACTTTGAATTACCTTGTGTTGAAAGGTGCTATATAAATAAACTTGCCTTGCCTTGCCTTGCCTTAAAGCTAAAGTATTACGTTTTCAAAGGCAACTTTTATATATATTTAAAGAAATGTACATATATTTGTGTGTATACATACATACACACCTGTACACCCACTGTTATATATCATTTGGAATGGAATCTAACATACTGACATGGCAAATGGTGGAATGAGCTCCCCATTGAAATCAGGACAGCAGAAAACCTACACATCTTCCGGTGCAGACTAAAAACTAATCTGTTTCGACTCCACTTCGAGCAATAGAATTACTAACAAAGCACTTGTATACTAATAAAGGACTGGCTTATCTAAAGCCAGTTGAGTAGCACTTGAAATGGTTTGGCTCTATGAAACCTGATGGACTTATATGATTCTGTTTTCTTCAAGTTTGTATCTTCCTGGTCGAATGCACTTATTGTAAGTCGCTTTGGATAAAAGCGTCAGCTAAATGCATTATGTCATGTAATGACAATAACTGTTTGAATGTTGAAAACACTTTTCCAATAAAGTTGTTTCTGAAATATAACTTTCACTGTTGTTTTTCCTTCTATAACAGTAATGTAGGTTAAAAATGTATGTAAACTAAACTGACATTTGGGAACCAAAAAGTGAATGTTGCAACCTAGGCAGTTAAGCATTTGATATCATTGGGTGTTAATGCTGCAAGAGTGGGAAGGTAGACATAATTGCTTACACGTATAGGCTAGAAGTGATGATAGAACAACTGTATTCTATGGATTTAATTTGTTATTTTCACAGCAATAACATGTGAAGTCTGCAAACATCTTCGATGGTAGGCTACTGTTTCACAAACAACCCAGTGCATAGTTGTTCGTTTGATGTTGCTATGTTTTCAAATTGTCAATTTACATTCAATTGTAATAAAGACACATCTCTGATGCACAGTGTAGAGTTGTGTGAGGGATACAGGTATAGGTATTTAATAAAAACATTGATCGCTTGAGAATGGCTGGAGAAGTTGTATCACCATTTATTCGGAGCGGATCACAGCTTGCCACAGATGACAGTCATCTCCAGTCTGCTTTCGGGCTGTGAGTAAACAACGTGTGTTTCACATAGAGGCGGTCTGAAGGTATGGACAGCTATCAAAGCTACTATACATCACATTAAGAACGATGTACAACTGAAACTCTGACAAAAATATATTGTTAACACGATTTATTAAAGTTCGCAATGTTTTGCACAGGCATCCCCACAGTCACCTACTTTGTCATTTTCTAGTCCTCACTGTGAGCTTCACGATATCAGCCTCTCACCCACAACCTCACATACGCCTACTGAACGTGCATCAAAGTGTTCCTATTCAGTAAGATATACCAAAACATGAATTTGAAAGACAGGCGAAGCGATCGAGATGGTTCTTTCCCGGTGAGTCAACATGGGTCCTCAAGGTACACGCCCCGATACATCTGTCTAAAATAATAGAATATCACCAGTTGTTCGGCCCACAATTTGTTCGGAAACATGGCTAAATAAAACTATTTTGGCCTCTGACATATCCTTAAATGGCTATAATGTGTATCGTACCGACCGGCCTAATAAAGGTGGTGGAGTTGCCATTTATGTTAAGAATAAGTTCAGTGTAACCACATTGATCTCCAAATCTGTCAGTAAGCAATTCGAATTTTTAGCCTTAAATATAGAAGTGGCAAAGGGGCAACAAGTCATGGTGGTGGGGTGTTACAGACCCCCCTCAGCTGTCAAGGACTCCTTGTCTTCACTAGCAAAACTTTTATCACAACTAGACTACAAGGAAATAGTGCTACTTGGAGATTTTAACTGGGACTGGTTAACTGCAGTATCAGAGGATTTTAAAAACCTTTGTATCTCTCTGAATGTTACTCAGATTGTTGACAGTCCTACTCGCCCTAACGTTAAGTCCCCTAATAAATCATCCCTAATTGATCTCATTCTAACTAATGTTCCCTATAAATACCCATCTGTGGGAGTATTTGCAAATGATGTGAATGACCACTGTGTTGTAGCCACAATTAGGGACACTAAGGTCCAAAAGGTTAAACCCCGTATTATTATTAAGAGACACATAAAACATTTTGTGGAGCAGGGTTTTGTTCATGATCTGTTTGGGTTTGATTGGGGAAAAATCGATCTGTGTGCTGATGTTGAAACTGCATGGTCTTATTTTTATCTTGGTTTTATGGAAATTATAGATAGACATCCACCCCTACGTACTTTTAGAGTAAAGGGACGAGACAATCCTTGGTTTTCTGCTGAACTGTCCAGTCTCCTACATGAGAGAAACAAGGCCTGGGCAAAGGCTAGGAAATCAGGCTCAGATGTTGAATGGCTGCGTTTTAGGCAACTGAGAAATAGCTTCACTTCACAGGTCAAAAGTGCTAAGTCGAAGTACTATTTGTCAGTTACTACAGAAAACCTAAATAATCCTAGGAAATTTTGGAAAGCCATAAAATCGCTATCCACCGGTGAGATCCGAAATGAGCTACCTCCGTGCATTACCACAACATCTGGCTCTATATCGGACAGGGGTACTATGTTAAATTGTTATAATGAGCATTTTGTGTCCTGCGGTTCTATGTTTGATTCTGTGACAAACTCTGCTTCTGTGAACACCACAGTCGGTGACTCTGAACAATGTGGTCTGGAAAACCCTTTCAGTTTTACTCCTTTTACTGTTGATGTTGTTCGTGAAGCTTTAACCAAGTTAGATCCTAAGAAACCGGCCGGCCTGGACAA